AAACAATAAAATGAGAATATGTTGTCATTATAGTTAATATTATTTTCTACACTGGTCATTCTAATACTTCCACTCTGTTGTTCAAAGTAAATGTGAGACAGTCTATAATTCCATTATCTTATCTTTGTTTCTGGTTACGAGACGTTTCGGTATTCTGTAGGTCGTAAAATATTAATCACATAAAGGTTACGAGACTAAAATACAACAACAGCATCAGCCACCACAGATTTTGGAGGACTTCATAACAGCTTAAAAATAATGAGCAGAAAATATCTCGGTAATTTAAACGTACAAACACAAGCCATTGGATGGCCATCTTCCATGGGAAACGAGGTGTCGCAAACCAAGAAGCAATGTTTCTCGAATAGAATGTGACTGTCTTTCATCCAGTTATGAGCAAATACATAAATCCACAGTTCACGTTGTACACACTCAGTGGAGATTGCAGCCAACAAAGTAATGCATTTAAAGCATATGCACACTTCCCATAATCACGGCGACACCGCGGAATATATCAAAATCGCAGAGTAATCAAACCCAGCACGCGATGTAATTAACTGAATCCGAAATGCAAACAAGTTGTATTCCGATTTTGAATATTCGTCCATATGTCGATCATGATGACAAATCCAAATCACTACCTATACAGCGTCAATAAATCTGGATATCTATGAAATGACGAAAATATGCTGATAGCTGCATCTCAGATCACAATGACTCATTCGATAGCAAAATTCTGCTCCTGCATGCCTCTTTCGACATTTTTGTATGGATTGGTTCGCAGTTACTCAGGTTCCAGACCGAAAAGAATGAAAAATTCACCAGTCGCTGAATTATAATTACTTCTCTGCATGTTTAACTGGATAATAACTGCTGTGGTGAGCCTTTTGCAGATTATATTGCTCAAAACATCGCTTACGGTAAACTAACTAACGTTTTATAAGCCATTTTTATACTTTTGTGACTAGCCCACCATATCGACCGAATGTAACGCAACACTCAGTTGTTTCGCTCATGTTCAACAAATTCAAACAATAATTGTGCCTAGGATTATGCCATATAAACTGTTTTAACTTATGCAGAGTGTACTTACGGTCAATATTTCATTATCTTCCCTTGTAAATATATTTTGTGTTAGTGAAAATTTTTGAACATTTTTACTTCATGTGTGCATTATTATGATATTGATGATGCCTGTCAACTGGAGTCCCTCAAGTGCATAAAGTGGGAATATATTATTGTAAGACGCATTTTATTGTTATATGAGGGAATTGACTTCAAGCTTTATTTATTTTCCCAAGTATCTGTAATCCGTCCAAGCATACTTGGGTTTTTTGTTAATGCGAAGTAAATATCTCTATATTTCTTGGTGTGTTTCACCGAATCACCAGTTATCCGATTTTCCCCACAAACTAAAGATAAAATGACAACAACCATGTTATTTAACCGTAAATCATGTAATTTAAATATGTAACTTAAATAATTCTTATACATTCCTATACAACTTGTGTGTCCTACATTTGTAGGAATAAATATGTACCTTATTACGTTATCATTACTAACCATACTTACTAATCGTATGTGTCATTTGTCGAATTGATGATGCCTGTAAACTGGCGTCTCTCATGTAAAGAAAAATGAGAATATACTATTATTATTATTAAACCTGGACAACAGCTGGATGCTCGTGACACTAATTGTGATGTACTCCTACCAAGGAAAGTATTTCGCATGATCGATTGAACTAGTGCTGTTAAGATAGACGACGAGATACTTGGTAAAGGAATTTGTAGGTATGTTGTGTGATTTGGTTGAACCTCAGGAAACCGTTTGAAAACTAGCTGTGTCTTCATATTAAATCACGAACACTGCTCTTACGAAACATTGGCCAATGACCCCAGCTGATAGCCTGGGAGATTCCAAGGAAGTGAAGAGGTTATGAGACGACAACTTGAAGGATGATATGCGATATGTACGACAGTGTCACCAAGTCTTGTTTAAGTTTATTGTCACTGTAGGTCTGTGAGACTCCTACTACAAGGCGAATAAAAGAGACGAAGCAAACAGTAAAATACCAGAAAAAGACAAAGTATGTAGATATAAATAGAACCTTAGTTTTTTTAAATATGCATGTTTATATTGTAAACTTCCATTCAGTCAGCATATCTCGATATCCACTTTGTCTTTTCGTTTACTTACGCGACTAGTCTGCTTATCGTTCATTTAGGGTAATTAACTGGGGTCTATACGTTCTTTGAAGATTTGGTAGTCTCAATATTTGATTCATTCTAGGAACGAGTAGGGCGTTCTTAGTGTTTGTGTGGTCGCTATAGTTTGACAGTTTATATAGGCTGTCCAAGCAACATAAATGAGTTGCAGGTGCTGATTCCCGGCGCTACACTGTTCCATATCTTGGAACACATGGTTGTGAAGAGGTTAGTGCTGTAAGTAACTGTCACTGTGCATGCTGGGTCGCGCAGATCTCAAGAGCCTTCCTGTGACAACTGCGTGTCTTCACTGTGTGACAATGACTACACGGTCACTTTGCTTAGTCCATCCCTGACAATGTTCTGAAAGCACCCCACATCATCACGATGGAATGTACCACCCACTTTACGGTCTGAAACGTAAAAGACGAGAGACTTGGTAAAGGAATGTTTGTTTGGAATTTTTATCTACACCTTATCTTCAAATCACCATTTGCACAGACCTTCCGCATCGGGCTACCTCTGTCCTTCATATTGTGTTTCTTTGTCTTCCTTTTCACGTCTCCCATGTTTCACCGAAAGGCTGAATCACTTCTTTCTCTGACCTCAAATTTACCTGCCTGCCACTTGATGTTTTCCTGCAGATGAACTTCTTTTTACATACAACTGATAAACCTTACCATTGTCACGCTCCTTGATGCTTTATTTGTCTTACTTCGAAGCATAACTTTTAACGGTGCATTTAAAACTGCACAAACGTCACGTTTCTTTTCTCACTGTTTTTTCCTGCTTGGATTCTCTCTACGGAGTTTTGATGCATCCTATCATCACTTCATGCTATCTCTATCTTACTGTGTCTACAGGATATTCAGGGATATATGAGAAGCTATTTTTCCTATTTTAAAATGTTTTTCAACAATTTTCATTCAAATTTGAGTGGGTATGTTTTTTCAGAGTGCCGGATGGATGTGTCACACTCTCATTCGATTACTCCGTCTAGTTTGGAATGAGCAAGATTCAATTTGATGAATGTGAAAAGAATGAATGCATAATAGGATTTACAGGATTGACCCAATTGGGTTTGTTGAATTTGGAAAGGGAAAAATAATCACAGTGAGGTTGTATAAGGTATATACTGGTGATTATTTCAACAGGACATTCGTCTCTCCATGACTTGTACATCTCGTAAATTGACAACAGATATGAACTGAACTGACAAACTACCAGAGTTAGTAGAAAACATAGGCGAATGGATTACGTGATGACATAACAGCATACGCGTTCCGGATGAAGTGTGCATGATAGTCAGTTCGGTAGAAGTTCTATCGTGAGAATGTAGTAAATACGTGTACCTTAAAGGTGTTATATAGAGACAGGATCCCGTAGTTTGCAGAAGATGTTTGGTGCGCAGTAAAACTTTGCTGTGTGTAGAACGGTAATAACCAGAAATTCCAAGGATAATTTCAATTGACTTCAATAGTGTCTCCACTAGAGTGGCCCATTTTGAAGAATGAGATCGTGAAGGCACTTGCTTATCAGTCAATCTATAGAACGATGTCATGACGGAGTACGTCAATTCGTGTGGACGCACCAGAAATTTAGATATATGAGTTCTTTCGAAATTCTTGTTAAATAATGTGACCCATGTGTAAATGTTGGAAGGGAATATTGGTTTCATTTTACTTGATGTGAGAAAATAATCACATGTATTCAGAGAAGTCGGAGTGTTTGAATTTCTGGGATTCAGAATATTGGAGTTTATGACTCGTGAAGTTTGCAAAATGAAAAATGACTCCCATGTGAACCGTGTAACATGCGAAGGTAGAGTTGATTCTATTGTTTTGTGTGCGCTGCCAGCGTGAACTTGTGTCACCTTGAAATTCATGCGGTCAGCCGTATGCACAACCGATGTTCAGACGGTTATGAACCTGACTGTGTTAAACGCAGTGTGGTCATCCTAGATATCACATAAGTAGACAGCCTACACATACTGAACAATCTCAAGCAGGCATAGAACAAAGCATAGTAGACAATCCGATTATTATGGTTGGTCGGAACGGCGATACTATCGGATTTCGACACATATCAGGTGAGAAGCAGATGCCTGTTTTCCTTCGAAACACCTTGTGAAAATGAGCATTAGATAGATGGTGGAGTTCGTCACGTGGCACAGAAATGGTGCATTTCAGGACTTCTGGGTCCCTCAGCAGATAGCATATTTCCTGAAAGGCTTCAATCATGAAATTGGTAGGAATTCTTTCGCTTTCTAGGTATTTATGAGGCCCCAACGAAGCTCTGGTTAGCAGTTTCAGGTCAGGTTGATGGTGGTTAATAACACGTTTAGTGGGAAAATTTTGGTATGCATGGTCCGTTGAATATCGACACTATTTATCCGAGTTGTTTGCTATGCATATTAACTAATACCTAAGGTTTTATATTCCTGTTTTTTTTTGCTTCCTTATTTTCACCCCGTAAGTGTGCTGACACATTACACCTCAAATCGAGAACGATCACTCTTGAGAATATACGAAAATTTTACAATACACGAATGGGAGCAAATGGGGAAATACCTGAATAATGCCTACGATTACAAGAGATGGAGCATGTAAATGGTAGTCTCCAACAAAATTTATGCATTTAGGACTTACAAGTTCTCTCTATCATTCATTACAAAACCACCAAAGATAAATAGATTTCTACGGAACAAAATCAGTAACTGGAGTAGTTAGCTGAGGATCCACTAGGAAGAAACGAACGAGAAATTAAATGTGATCTACAGGTTATTGGAATATTGAAAGATGACTAGCGGTTAATTCGCTATTGGAGCTACTAATATCCACTTGGAAATGATCGGCGTAGGTTGCTTCGCAGTTTGCTGTGATAATTGTGTTTTGATATGAGGTGTGATGAAAAGTGGAAGGTTTTTCAGAGGTTGTAACGTGTTTCGGACAGAAGTGCCTCAGGAAACCACATCACCATCCCGGTAATGAAAAGATTACAACGCTCTTTAGCCTCATCATACTCGAAGCGGAAGTTATGCCGCTAGTTTAAATAGTGCGTGTTATGTATTTAGTTTATTCCATGCTCAGACATTTTTTAACACTCAAAATAGAAGCTTCTGTTCAGGTTCTAAAGTTCCCAGATAGCATATTCTTCTTGTCCCTTGCAGACATTTCGGGACATCATTCTTCAGGCGAACTGAAGGAAGCGAGGTAATCGTCTACAGTGTGCCTCAAGGTGTCTGCACTTTACATGAGGCTTGATCGGAGTAAAAATTAGGAGATTTCGGGAAATGCAACATTTCTTCCACCGAAAATCCCCAAATGTTTAAAAAATTTGGCCAGAAGCTAACACACGCAATGGGATTCTTTATTCAACAGCTGCAGAATAACCATCTATATGGTGTCTGCAGTCTGCAGACTTAGCCCGTATTGACTGTAATTGCCATGATCGCCTATATTAATTCGTCATCAAAAATTAGTTATCTAATTTTTTTCTCCCATTAAAATCGCTAATAGTATCATTTCCTAGATACTGCTTAATTCCGGTTTTCTTTTTGCCACCTGATTTTCTTCGAGTTGTCACCATTATCGTCAAGGTTCCTTGGATGCTGCAATCATAAGACGAGCCGAGTGTGATTTCTTTGTTGGGCGACAAACCCCAGAAATAAGCCTTAAGGGATAGGGACTCTGAAACAAAGAATTTTTCAGGTTACTTCAAGCGATGTATGCAAATTAGCCAGTGACAAATGTGAGGTGAAGAAAAGTATATCAAGAGTGTAAGACATCTAGATTCACTAGTGAGAATGTAAACGTATTATTGATAATAAAGTTGGTAGTAATCTCACTGCTGTTACTCGAATCTTTCCCAGTCTTTGGTTTTCATGCTGCCGATGTAAGGCTTTCTGGGAATACGTTCTCAGTTTGTCATTTTCCGTACGACTCACACTTGTCAACTTTCAACGTGTTTCTTACCTACCAAACTGGCTTTCTATTTAATCCCGCTGAAGTTATCATTACATGGTAGAAGGACGCCTTACCTTTAGTTCATATGCATTTGTGCAACTTCGGTTTCAGTCTTATGTGAGTAATGTACTTCAAAGACTATCATCCATATAACATTTCGGTCGAAATATTGCACTTTTAACTAGGAAAACTTTTGTGTAGTGTACCAACCCTTTGACTAATCCGTCATTTATCAGTTGTGCTTCATAAATAAAATGAGCCTTTGAAGGCGGAAATGAAGAGATTAGTGTTTTGAAACTGGATGACATTGCCTTTCAGTACAACTGGCTTTTTCTTACTACTCGGTTTTTGCTTCGATTTTCTTTATACTAAATACTTCCTATTTTGACATCAGTATTTTCTGGCAGATAACCTTTAATTACTGATAAGACTCAATTTGGGTCTTCACACGCACCAGATTTTATCTCTGTTCCTTAACTTTTTATCTTGCGACGTGTTTCCGGTGCTAATTAGTAACGCTCTGTCTGGTCTTGACTATACTTTCCATTATTAGGTGGAACAATCATTTCGTATTTTCTGTAACCTTCGAAATTCGGTGATTTTTAAGTCTGATTCTCACTGTTATTTATCGTAATCTCCGATTATCACGAATTTCTTGGTCAGATTTGATTCTAATTACCCAAAATAGATCTCCCAGGCATCAGGCTGAGTCAAGCGTAGTTTGTGTGAAGGCTGATGACACTACGTAGACTTAAGTAGGTGCAGGAAAACTCAAACCTGGGAACAGTTAGTTGAATGCCTGGTGCTTAAGTCAGTAAGCAACATTTTCAACTGCGCAATTCAGAAGTAAACAGAACTGAATATAACGTTCTGAAAGAGATTTCATCGTAAACAAAATCACATGACCCTTCTCCACTTCAGTTTTGCACATGCAAGTGTGGATAAAACCTGTTAACTCAGCACTTAAGTCATTTTTAAATTGTTTTTGTAGGTGACACTATGTGAAGCTCAATTCTGTGGATGCAAAATGTATACACTGGACTTATCTAGTCCACTCGATACTGAAGATGTGTACTACACACATAATGGGAGGATAATTAATCATTTTGAGGATATTCCAAAAGATGCAGTGTTGCAGAAACATTATCGTCTTCGGGGTGGCAAAGGTGGTTTCGGATCTATGCTCCGAGCCATTGGAAGTCAAATAGAGAAGACAACCAATCATGAAATGTGCAGAGATTTATCAGGCAGAAGAATGCGTGATGTAAATATGGAGAAGAGATTAAAGGAATGGTATGCTACAGCCGATGAGCGGGAGCGTAAGAAAATGGAAGAATACCTTGAACGAAGACGAAAGCGTCAAGAGTTATTAAAAGAAGGTCCACTACCTGGACACAAATTCTCTGACCGTGATTATGAGCGACAAAAACGAAAAATTGCATATGAACTTAGAAGCGCCTTAGACACAGGTATAATCATTTTGTGCATATGAAATCACTATCTGTTTAGCGATAGAAAATGTCTTAAAAGAAACCAAGTCAACAGCAAATTTGTCTCCAAGCTGTTCGATAGAACAGCACAGTGCAAAGCGTACTCGGTTATGGATAGAAGAGCTAGATAATGTATTATGTTCTGACTCCAGTGAAGAGGAAAAGTTAGAAAATGAAGACTTCTTATCATCTGATGGTTCTCCTAATCCTGAAAAGGAAAATAATAATGAAGATACTACGAAGCCTACCGATATTCCCGTAGACTCTTCAGAAAATAACGATTCTAAACAAGAGACTACTAGTAGGTTACATTCTTATTAATACTAGCATATATCGTTCGCCATTTTTGAGTTAACCGCGAAGTGATCCAATTATTAATATAACAACCGTAAAATTGCCTTATATATTTCCGCCTAAATAGTTGAACAGAATGCTCTTATTTTTTATCACGAATGTATGTCATATTATGTCAATTATCATTAAGTTATGACTACTGTAAACTCCATCCACCCACACAATTGATGGGTAAACTGACTATACTTTTTGACCGTAAATATTAGGAATGACAACCATAGAAATGAGAATAGAATTTGGGCACTGTGGTAGAGTATAATTCCATCATATAGTAACCAGAGAACAAACAACAGAAAAAATCTTAATGAAAGCCTCAACTCTGGGAAATGCATATATCCTGAAAAAACCTTAAAGTTCATAAATTCAGTGAGTAGATTCTTGACTTGTTTTTAATTACCAAAGAATAGTGTAAGAAGAGATGATGTGCTTTTATTCTAATTACAGGTGACGAGAAGAAGGAGGATTCAGGAAATTCACGTGTCGACCATCCAACAGCAGTTGTACAGCCCTTAACGGATGAACAGTTGAATGAGATGAATACTTCAGAAAGTCTGGAAAAATTTGGATTAGATGTTCTTAAGGCAACTTTAACTGCCCGCGGTTTAAAATGTGGAGGAACGTTAAAAGAACGAGCTAACCGACTGTTTTCAGTGAAAGGTTTAAGTCCTGAACAATATCCTGTGAAATTATTAGCTAAGACCAAATAATCCTGATTAATTTACCAGATGTTATTTTTCTCATAGTGTATGTATATAAAAAGGAACGTATTTTTGTGTACTTTTTAAATTAGTGCTATTTACTTTAATCGTCAACTAATTTTTCTTCATATCAATACTTGAATGTTTACATATACAACAATTTGGTGTAATAATTGAATAAATTATACTATATTTACAAATTGAGCTTTTTGAGTAGAAAAAGAGAGATTTATTAATCTCTCTCTCTCTGAATTCGACAAAGTTGAATGATGAACTTAACTTTAGGTGGATGGATAACAAGAAATATTCTAATAATAGTGGTATTACAGTACTCATGTGGATTGAATGTTTGTTTGAAATGCTCTAAACAACTAGCTTCATAAGTATGACGTTAGCCACATTTTTTAAGTTAAACTTTCCAGTTGTCGAAAATCATTAGTCTCATAGTTGCTTTTTTACAATACATGTATATTTCCTTTTTCAGATTTTATTCTACAAAGAGTTACTTGAATTCCTGAAAGAAAATGATTCTATTAAAATATTTAAAATAATAACATTATTATTTGCACACTTGTGTAAATTATCATTGAGACAAAGTAGTGAATTTTACTACATAAAGTCATAATTATTTTCTTTTTTTTTCTTAAAAAAAACAAAATAATTTGACATATTAGCTGATCTGAAATAAAGACACGAAAGTAGTTGGAAGAAACAAAGAAAAAACAAACAAAAGTGCACAAGGATAACAACGTATTTTCAACACGAAACAATAGTGTCAAGGAAACAAACTAAAATCAGGTTTAATACTCTTTACACAAGTGAGAACATGTGATATTCGTGAATAAATGTGTTGTCATTGAAGAGAAAAGAAAAGTGTTCACCTGAGACTGATTAGGTGGAACATGGCGCTGCAACTGAAAGTCAAAAAGTACTATAAGCAGATAAATGTGCACGACAATTTCTGTTGTTGGATAGAGACAAAAAGAAATGAAACATCCAACAAATTCTGAGATTTTAAAATAAAGGAGAGAAAACAGCAGCAGCTTTCCTTTCATAAATCACAGCCCACTGTACAAACATGCTTGGATTGACGGAGTATCATTGTAGTACACAGCTTTTATCAATTCGACGTCTTCTGGGCGATATCATATTTGTATTCTGTTCCAACTCGAGCTCTTCAGCTAGCCTGTAAATTTATGAGAAAAATCAAAGGAATGGAATAGCAAAAAACTTACGCTTTCTCATGTAGGTCGAGTTCTTGAATCATGTCGTCACGTTCATTGACCAATCGTACAAGATCACGTAAAAGTAGATCTTCTCGTCTCCGGTCACTGTCTGTTTTCAAATATTCTAGTTTAGTTAAAATAAACCACAAATTGAATTACTGACAATCGAATGAAAAAAAAAACATGTACAGACTGACTTTGTACTTCTGATTTTGGAAATGAAAACAAGTAGTGAGTAGCCAGTGTTTTAATTTTTGTCATAAAACAGACATTTTCTGATTGAAAAAAAATTGTATTGACGGAGTGCTGTCTATCAGCTAACTTCTCAAATGTTAGACAGGCTAGCCTACCTAGTCTTCCAGACTTTGTGAAATACTAATTGGTGGATAACAATGCTTATTAAAGCGTTCGTAGCACCTACATGAATTGAATACTGGTGTACGAATGACAACTGAACCTGCAGGCATACAATTATTCGAACAGCCTACTTCAAAGTACACCGCTTTGTTTACTTTATTGTTGAGTTACACAATTAATTAGTTTCACAAAGTAGTCAGTGACTCGCATCCCTAAGTTATTCAGTATTCAAAACACGGACAATAATTCTAGATGTTGAAAATAACTTTAACTGTTTAAACGGATAATGACTCCTTGTGAACGCTACTAAACTTCACAATTGAATCGTCTATGTGCTGACATATATCTCAATATAAGCACAACAAAAGTAATCTTCCTGTTCGACAGCTAACATAAGAATGCTTAGCCGGCGATCATGTAAAATATAACATATACGCACATTAACCAGTTCAGTCTGAAAGTGTACGCTCGTCGTTTTACACTTAAAAGACCAATTACGTAGACCACTAAATCAAGATAGATTACATCACTGCCAGGTAGACGAGGAATAGTAAATACAGTCATATTATCATTGTTCCCTTGGGTTCCGAGTGGAACATAAGGCTTCAACAACACATCTCCCACTTTATTCTTTTTTCGGCTGTCCTTTTCATCTGCGCCTACAATCTCTCATCTCCTCCATACCACCATATGATGACGCACTCGTTGTTTGTCACTTGGATTACACTCGAGGGCCTGGCTAGCAATGTCAATTGACGGTCTCCTAAACGTATGCCCAATCCATGTCCTCCATTTTATCCCACATATTTGTTGGACGATAGGTTCTTGATTGGTTTGCTCCCACAGTTTCTTGCTGCTAATTCTTTCTGACCATATGATCTTCGATATAGAGCAAAGGCAGCTGTTGATAAAAGCCTGCAACATGTTGGAAATGCTTCTCGCGATGCGCCAAGTTTCTGACCCATATAGAAATACAGTAATATAAGTGATAAGAAAACTGAAAATTGTCCTTCAATTACCTTCAACAGATAGAATTGATCTTAATTCATCCTGCAACATGTGCATTTTCTTCTTTAAATCGTCTTCCTTCTCCCTGAAATTAAACAAATTAAGCGGACATTCATAATGAAGTGTAACAGAATATTTTCTGATATTCAACACTACAGATTGACTTTCAACTAGTACGATGATTTTAGGTAAGAAAAAAAACTATAGAGTAGTAAAAAAAGTAATACTACGTACAATTAACTATTGTGTTATAATATTCATTAAGGGTTAGTAAGATGTAATGAATGTAAGTTATCAACTCCTGAATACTCATCAATAATAAGCATTATTTTGTGCATCGAGGAAAAGACGCTAACTGTGAGTAGAGTTATTTAGCTCCAAAGTATATTACTACACTACCATATTCTTAAACAGTGATCTTCAACCAGTAGTGAAGAATAACACAGGTAAGCAGTGACTCTATATGTAGCCTAAAATATAGAAGTTTCAAATGGAAAAGCTGTGATAGAATACAAATTTTGAGGATTCACAGGATTTATCACTTTTTTTGTAGCTTTTCATAAGATTCGCAATATTAACTTGCGACAGGAAATCTAAGGTTAGCGCTTCAATTACCAGTAATCTGATAACATGTGCAATATCAACCAGAGGTTTTAAAAAATTTATGAAGACAATGATCAAATTTGAAAGATTCCATAAAAGTTCTTATCGTTTGTAAAAAAGTCAGCTAGATTAAACAACAAAATCAGTAATACAATCTTTCGAGAAGAGCCTAGTTCACATGCGAATTTATAAGAAAGAAAAAAGTTGTAGATTTAACGCGTTTTATTGTCGCTTATCGAGGTTAACTATTCACCGAACCCAAAGGGCGCGAAAATGAATGATATCAAGTGATAGTGAATGATCAAGGCCTAGAAAGCTTAAATATTTTAGTCGGATCGTCAACGAATGACAACCGTCCTTCATTTGTCATTTCTCTATGTACTGACGTCACAGTTATGATAAGGAGCTTATTGATAGAGACTACGAATGATTCCATGTTTACATGTCATCAGTTCCACAACACTGAGAAGTTATGGTATATCACGCAATCTATGTCTAGAGAGTTGCTTAGAAGAAAAGGCATGTTTACTGAACAGATGATGTCTATGAATAGTGTTGAATAGTGATTCGTATCTCAACGAAGACATTAACTGAAGTTCTAGTCACTGAAAATACTGAGTGTTCTTGATGCTGACGTATAACTCACAGTGGACATTATATATTATCAGGAAGTATAATGTGAAATCCATTAGAACAATTATCAGCATACCTCATTCACGTGGACTCAGAATGGATAAAGAAACCTACACTGTAACTCATTTATAACCAGACTAAAATTCTGAAGGGACAGAAATCCATAAAGTCATCGTGTATTCATCTAATAGGAATCAGCATTCTTCCACATGGCAGAGATCTGTAGAAACTGAAGTGAAGGCAGTAATGCTGGAATAGTTGCCGTTAATGCTATTACTTAACATACAGATATTAGACACTTCGTACTAAAGTGTCATGATTGTAGTTGTATGAATCAGAGTTAGTTTCCGATCTTATATATATATATATATATATATATATATATATATATATATATATATATATAGCTTTAAATAGTCTTTGATAAACACATTCATCACCAATATTTGTTCTTCTGTTACAATAATACCCAAGCTGCAGAAAGATTACTAGAGTTTACGATGTGAATTCAAATTCCTTAGCAGAACAAATTTATTTGTATTGCATCTCTTCAGAATATAGAAAGTTGCCAACTTATTAAGCTTTCACTATATTTTATTTTATTGCTAGTGTTAACTAATGAAATCTGTATTGATTTTTGAATGCTACAAAATCGACACAATTATTGCTATTATTTCAAGTTTGAAAACAAAGAAGTACTGGATAGATGTTTCATCATGGTTTGGGCTTCTCTCCATGCCGGTAGCTAGGATCAGACCCAGTCCTCTCACTGATGTCAGTTTATGATTCTACATGACACAACAGTCAAATCCCTGCAAACCAATACTGGAAAATATTACTACCATTAATATCCCCGGCCGATTGCTGCTACCTTGACGTGGTGGTCGGGCTTGCATATCGCAATGACCCAACGAGCTACACTGGCTGGAACGTATGTTCCTGTAGGTCCTACCATGCCAGAAAGGTTATTTGGATAGCGGTTAGACAAAAAGCAGCTACCCAATCCAACACTATGATTCAAACAAATCCACAAAATATCATGCCGGATCGGTCGGGGCCCGGATTAACAACGACCGCGCTTCCTGCTGCCGTCTCACAGGGCAGAAGTGATAAATATGCTACTGAGACACACCAAACAAGAAAAAACAAACAAAATCAGGCCGCGTGTGACCGGCCTCAAGCAGTTGTCCCCTGGGCTCTGTGGTCACGCAACACTAACCTTTTCTCTATTTCAGGTACCCGAAGACTCAACCAACTTCCACGGTGTGGGCAGCCGGGAAGTAACAACCGCCCACACACTCCCGACCATTAATATCATTATTGTCGACTGCGTCGTGTAATAAAAAACCATATGAAACTAACCTACAAATATAGTCAGTTATACTAATCTTGTCAAACTGACGACTTGTTTGTTAAAAAAACAATATCAGCAATCAATCACTGACTAATAAGTACATAATTGATAAAATGCTTTATGATATCCAAATAACTAAATTTTTTAAAAAAAAGAGGTAAATGAATAATCTTACATAATATTTAGCTGGATACCACGACGGATTAATGCATTCTTCTTATTGACTAAAAGAAACCATCTTCTTAACAATTCTTCTTCTAATGCTGTACCAGGTTCACGTGCCATCTGTTGACGTAACCGTTTCTCTAAGTCAGCTGCTTCTTTGTCTAATTGTTTCTGTGCTTCTTCCAATTCAGCTTGTTCATTATTGATGTAATTTGAAATAGACAGATCTGTATTCACTGGAGTGTTGTTGTTGTTGTTCTTGTTGTTGACTACTGTAGAGACTGAAACGATACATTACATATGTACATTTTGTAAGTGATAATAAAATCGTTGCAAAGATTAAAAACGTCTTGGTTGTGATAACTATAACGGAAGGCAGATAATTCTGCTTGTCAGTTAAAATATCGTGTTTTTCTAACCGCACTGCTGTAAAACACCACTGAATTTAGTAAATCCACGACGGATCTGCAAGCAACGGATCCTTGATATCTTTGCAGTATTCAGTGTCTATTGGAACCACAAAATGAATCATTCAGTGGTTAGACGTCATGTTACATGAGGCAAGTAATTCAGTCAGTCGAGGTCTCTCGACACATGTACACAACGTATAAAATGATTTATTGTCTATCCCATTATAGAATAAAAAGTAAAAAACATGATCAGAGAAAAATATGTAGTACAAATCCGAAAAAAAATCATCAGCTGGTTATACACCCATAGTCGTGTAGCAAAAACCAGCTTATCTGGTTACAGTCAGTATTATTATATCAGAGTAATCTGTGTCTAGAGAGACAGAATAGACTTTTCATTGAAACATTATTATTGTCACTTTTTATTACCTGGTGCTTATTGCATAGATAAGACAACTGTTAAGCAGTAATACTATTTTAAATATAACCTAAACTGTTACTTCGCGTTAAACACCATATATTTACTCTTCAAACAAAATATAACCGAAGCAAGTCTGCCCATCTCATATGTATAAAAAAACAACAACAAGTGATTCAACTGATACAGACTCTTTCCAATGAATTTATTATCGATCTATGTATGATATTAATTGCTTTGCCGCTCCACACCGAACTATGATTATAATCACAAATATTTTAATTGCATTTCATACCATTATTGTAATTATTTAATGTATTCACACCTATGATTCAGTTCCCTCAACGGATATAATTTCTTATATATATATATATATATATATATATATATATATATATATATATATATATATATATATATATAACAGAGGACTGCTAGACAGACTAATCACTGATATACAATAAGCTGTGAATTATACCTGTTTAGAGAAGATTTAAAGCAATTTACATTCACAGAACATAGTATGAGTTATGGAGAGAGAAAAAAGAAACAGATTAGCAGTTGTTTGCCCGTATGACCAAGGTGTCAGGTACAACAACAATCATAATTATAATTTAAAACAGTTAGTTCCCTTTATGAATTTAGACAAAGTAAAATAAGAAGAAGCAATTTGTCTGAATCTTGTAAATGTATTTGCGTACAACACATTTTGAACAATCTGATTACACACAGACTTGTCATGGGAATATATATGAAATTAATAAAGAGTTAAGAGGTGAGAAAATAAATTTAGGTCAAGTTAAAAGGACATATTGAAGGTTAAAATAACTATGAAGATCACTACGCCAAATAGGACATCTATCCTGACTGATATCAAAACAAAGTTTACCAAGGAAGGTTTAGTGTGATGACAAACTGTTTTTGAACTAATAAAAATGGTTTAGGCTTTCTAATTGCTAGGGCTTCCACAAACTTTAGGATACGCCCCAAACACGTTTTATAGATAGGTTTAAAAGACATGTAAACATCAATTTTATGCCCTGTCTCTATAATATGTTTCGCTATAGGGGAGCTAGGTCTCTTGTTCTCACCACTAATGGGTTCTGGGGATTCTATTTGCTTCTGAAGCCAGCTCTTACTTGCAAAGATCAATGAGTCCTTCCTATGTATGTGTGTCCACACGTACATTTAAATTGATAAATACAGTGGAATGTGACATCATCTTTCGTATGTTCCTAATTATAATGCTAAGTTCAGTTTACAAAACCCTTTTCTCTTTATTTAATTTAGTCATAATTTAATGTGTTCAATAATACACAAGCTGTACACACAGCATAGACTCTTAACAGCACCTGTCGTGTCTTCGTCTAGACAAATGAAGATAATTATTTATCTTGCTAATTTACTAAATTATTTCGCTAAAATATTTACAACTAACAGTAATATACAAAAAAAACCCAATTTTATAGAGGCATATATGGAAACTACTACAGATAAACAAAGCAATTTCAATATTATGAGACATTATGACTAAGCGAATAACAGAAACAGTCTGGAATTATGGAACAGATTGGTAGGTCAAAATGACTGTGTGTTTTGGTATTGTAGCATGACGACGTCAACACTCAAAGTATCTTCCAGAAGGACAATAAAAGTACTTAAGATTGAACAAATTAGCTTAGATAATAAAACAACATCAAAAACCGTTACAATCCCTTATTTGCATATATGATGAAATACAATATAACAGTTTTCAAAATCTAATATTGAATATTATCAATACGTTGATGGCTGAATAAATTATTGTTACCTAAGAACTGAATATGAGTGTATTTCTTCTGTCAAGCATAGTATTACACATTAGGAAACAATTCAACTTAATTTTGAGATTGTCTTAATCATGATAGTAAGAAAAATGGAAATGTAACTGAACAAATCTCTACATTTCTGTACAGTTAGGGTAGTGAACAACAACACTCACGTAACCATGTAAGGGCTTATGGAGAATTGTCATCTGAATTGATAACAACCAGTGGTGTTCGTCAAGGATGTCCACTTTCCCCTTTTCTGTTTAACTTCATCATAGATATGCTAATGGAAGTATCCTTAACTGAACTTAACAACTTAGGAATCGACTTGTTACCAGGGAATAGTCTTATGGACTTAGAATATGCAGATGACATAGTCCTGTTAGGGGAGGATGCCGGCAAAATGCAGAGTCTTCTGAACACCTTGAGCAACAATCTTCGTATGTTTGGCATGCAATTCGCCCCTGTGAAATGTAAGATGCTGCTACAGGACTGGACTACGTCAACTCCAAGCTTAGTGATAGGGAGTGAAGTGATAGAACATGTTGACCACTTCACCTATTTGGGAAGTTGTGTCAGCACCAACGGATTGATTGGCGACGAAATCTCAGCATGGATCGAAAAAGGTCGGGCTGCTTTCGCTAACTTACACCGTCTCTGGCGTAGGCGTGACATCCGGCTATCAAACAAGGGACGTGTGTACTGCTCAGCAGTTCGCTCCGTCCTTCTCTATGGCGGTGAAACGTGGCCAATACGAGTTGAAGACATGAAAAGGTTGTCTGTTTTTGATCATAGATGTCTACGATCTCTTTCTCACGTTAGTGGCATAATAAGGTAAGTAATGTTGACGTTAGGTGTAGAGTGTTGGGCAAAGAGGGAAAATCAATCGAAGAGGCTGTAAAGTTACATAGATTGAGATGGTTAGGTCACGTGCTGCGCTTGCCTAACCATCGCCTCCCCCGACGGGTATTACTAGCTGATATAGGTGCACGTTGGAAAAGAGTAAGTGGTGGCCAAACAAAAACATGGCATCAATCCATGAAATCCTTGACAGTTAAACTGAGTCAGGTAGGGAGATGCAGACTTCCGGGTTGGGGCCCGCCCTCGGGACTCTAAGAATCAATGGCTGGAGACAATAGGTGACATGGCTCAAAATCGTTGTCAATGGCGCAGATGTATTCACTCTGTAATCTTTCATATTCCTTTCTACCATTACTCATTCTGTTTCACTCTTATACTTGTCAAAACTCTGTTGATTCTCTTCACTCATCTTCTTGTCTACCTTTGTGTGTTATTTGGAACGTGGCAACTCGAACTGCTGCACTTCGGTGCCAAGTTCTATGTTGAATCCAGACCAGAGAGACCAGAATGAACAACAACACCTGTTGTTTGAGGAGGATTGGTCAAACCTCGGTAGATGGAGCGCATTTTCCACACATAATCTAGTGCTATAGGAGTCTCGAGTATCTATCACCAACAGTCCGCATAGCAGGATAAATGAAGCATGAATCACCAATTCAGTATAAAATTGTATCACAGGTGAAATATTTAAGAAGAATAATAATGATATTTAATATGAATTTGAAAATAAAAGTTATATAAACCTCGATGAAAGTGTCAATTTTGCTTAGTCAACAAATGATTTTAAATTGGAAATACCATACTATTTATAAAATGTTACTAATGGAATTATACATTTATAATCACTGTATGTAATGCAATAACACCAGGTACTTAACTTAACTTAGAGATAAAGAAAAACAATGAGCTTGTTACAGAGATGTGATGTTTAGTTCTTGGAGAGAGAAGGAACATTAACAATTATATTTACCAATAATAAGTAAACCTAGTTGGTTAGAGTGAAACAAGTTAGGCTTGCAGCATACTTAGTCAAAAGGTGTCTATTAGTTCGGAAAATAAATGCCAGCGTAGAATGGATTGTTTTAATTTGTATAGTCTCGAAAATTTCATTTCACCTACCTTGAGTTTTATTCTGTATTGACAATAAATTCCATAGATAATTGTATACCGTCAGGATGTTTCATGTTCACGAATGCAAATAAACAGAAGAAAACAAAAAAGAAAATTCTTATATTCATCAAATTTGGATGTGTAATGGATAATAGTAGAAATAGGAATAATTTATTATTAACGAGTTACTTTGGCTTAGTTGTTGTTTGAATTGATGCATAGATTAATCTAAGCAGGAAGTATACAGATTGTCAAAACAATGTAAAGAATAGGAAAAAACATGACCCTTCGAAAAAGCTTAGTGTGTGTGCACCTGATTTCATTAAATTTACCATCTTCCGAGACTTCAGATTTACGTCTTATATCATGGCGTATCTCAGCATACGCATTTTTACGCTGCACTTTGATTCATCGCTTATTTCCGTACGATGTCTTATTTAGGGCTGATGGTATAAGGCACGTTGTCAAGTTATTCAAATGCAAAGGATTATCACTAAACCAGAATTCGGACAATTATCCTAATCTACTTCAACGGCTTGGCAATACGCTTTACTTAACACTGTACACCATATTATTCAATATGTATTGCCATATTTCCTGGAGAGAAAAATAAATAGCCGATAGAATAAGAGATTTTCAAGTATTGGTTTTGTAGGGATTTTTTATTTGATTGCATGGAGGATTTCATCACGAGCTGACATCCGTTAGAGAACCACTAGAAAATCTGGGAGTACTGGACAGCTGTTTCTGTGGTCCTAGTTTGGGACTCGTCAGCAGTACGCACCCACTACAGAAGTTCGAACCCAGCACCTTCTGGTTACAAGGCAAGTTCGTAGACCATTGAGCCACTGGGACCGATCCAATGGTCCTTGTATTCTAACTTCTGTCAATTCACGCCATAGCGTGACTATTTCGCAATGTCTTCTTCGATGAGTTACTACCCCATCTTCAACCTGTTGTACCCTACTGGTCACGGCTTCCCACTAGAACCTCAGGTTAACTGCCTGAATAGGGCCAGTCGCTAGGCTATCTAAATATACATCAGAATAAATATGTCTAAAAATCAGTTTACTCATAATTCTACGTTGTTTTTTTTTCGGAAAACTTATCAACGCGCCTTATACTATATATATACATATAGAACTAAGTTCTGTTGTCTTCGTTTATTATGTAAGTTGCCTGAGTGATGCGTGATTCATGCAATGCTGAAAGAAGAATAAATCAACGAGATACGCAGACAAGGATACAGAGAGATAAGCACCAGAACCAATAATCATCTGAACATATATATATATATATATATATATATAAAATTTTGAAGTATTATTCAATCATATGACCTAAAAATTAAAGTCCATATTTGGCACACATGACATGTATTTTCAGGCACTATGCATATTTTGTATACTCTGGAATAGAATATGTTTTTAATCTCTGTAATGATATTAAATTCTTGTTTTACAGTCTCTAAGTGTCCACTAATCCTGAAAACAAACTTACACTAATTAGGAAATCATCATTTTATCAGTTGATCCACATAGTTTTTCACCGATGACATAAGTCTCTTTTTTGATTAAAAAAAAATGGTAAAAGATACATTTCAGTGCATTAAACCCCATGCGAGTAAGTTGATTTGCTTACAGATAATTTTCTCTACAGTGAAACCACCAGTTGTTGATGGTTCCAATGGTAGAATGCTCTCGAAACAGGCACATGGTTCAGGCTGAGGTTCCCAGCCAACGTATCTCTCTCTTAACCTTGCCTACTTTATCAACCAGTAGAGAGTCTGAAATAATCGAAGTTTGTGCATGACGCTAGCAACTACACTCCGTTAAAATAACATCACCGTTATTTCACAGCTTGAAGTTCTATGCTTTAATCGGAAAGCAAAGGAATATGAAATATTAATAACAATTCTTAGATATTTGCGAAGGTAATAAAGATTAGAAAAACATCAGATAGTTGAGCCAGTTATCCGTATGACATTCAAAATCACTGTCCCCGATTTCATAATTGAGTGAAAGTTTCTACAAAATCAGCTTTTAACTTAAAGACAAGTCGAGTAAACGTATATATGACCCTTGTAAGCTGCTAGTTACATATTCGTGTATAAATGTAATAAGTTTGTTTTTTTTGTGCCGAACATTTTGCTTTGTTATTAAAAGTCAACTGTAAATCTTCTGAAGTAATTACTTGTCAAGATCTCATCTCCGTGATGATGACAGACACAATTTAAGAATAAAGTTTACAGGTATATATGATTCTAGAAAATGAAACACACTGTTGGCACTTATTTCATGCGATGAACAGCTTACGAGATGTCTGTGTACCCTCCAACCATTGAAACTGTTGAAAACGATACAGATACAGTTCACGAAAACAAGTTAGTGAACGATTTAAAAAGGCAATTTAATTTCCCTAAATTATGGAGTTAGATCGAATTAAGAAATATGTGCTGCATAGAAATTAGTACTCAGTAATATTGAAAATCATTAGTTTAGAAATACTCGCAATAGTTGCTTAATTATATATGAAACCATTCTTTTTTTTTAAGATGAATAATATACCAAGGATATTCACAAATTATTTAATTGAAAAATTTAGATTTTCCTGTCGATTAATTGGACCGATGGGTCTTGCTCGGTCTCACGTTGACATGTCGGCCTCTTGTGCAGATGCTTCGACGATGTCTGGGCATGTAATTAAAATTTAACTGGTGGATGATGGTGACTAGCAGTGGGATCCAGGATGCGTATTTCGTCCTGTTTGGGACTCATCACCGGATGTACCTCCACCATTTAAATTCTGATATTCACAAATGTATATCAATGATAGAGTTCAAATTCAAGTTCACTTATAATCCTGTGTTTGAATAACTTAATATAATATGGCAAGTTATTTTCTTTTTTTTTCTTGTCATACTTCTTGATTCGTATTTCAACGCTGTGGGATTATTATCGGATAAAACAAAGCAAATCTCTATAAATCACAATCACTGTTTGCGTTTTTTGTTTTTCCTTCACGTTCCCAGTGGAACATAGGGCTTCAAGCTAGAGGCTTGAAGTTTCTGCAGCAGTGTTTATTTTACAGGATGGGGTTGTTAGCCTCATGCTCAACCTTTCCTCTTCACCAGCATTGTTTCTGGCTTAGCGAGGTAAAGGAGTGAGTCGTCCGGGAATCGAACCCCGGACCATGTGCATGCTCAGCAAGCATCCTAACCACTATGCCACCGACGCCCAAATCACAATCATGATACGTGCTAATTTGATTGAATCAAAACTGGTTATTTCAACACTCACCTACGTAAATAGTCAGCAGAATTATTCTACTTTAACCAATAGACCTGTCAGTATTTTATTAGACTATTCAGATACACTAAAATTGAAGTCTAATTTAACTAACTTTTTATCTTAGCGTTCATAGGTAACTACCATACTTCAAATCAGTAATTGTATGGTGATTGTGTGTGTGTGGCTCTCGTAACCTGAATTGGTTCTACACTTGACCCCCACCCACCCACCCTTAATTGCATCATGGGTGTCATGTGTCATAAATACACATACTTTAAAAGATATTGATACTTATTCACTAAAAAAATATATTTATACAAAACATTTTAAACGAGTTGTGTGAATTTTTAATACAATGAAAATAAAAAAAGATAATTTTACAAGTTAATGCAATTCAACAGTAACATGTAAGCACTATTTACGCATTTATTTTCTCATGTTAATTAAGTATGAGAATTCATCGACAACAACAAAAATATTTTGTGTGAGATATAAACAATATAAGTAGTTAGTTAGAACTCAGTTACGCCGATCATATTTTTCATGTACCAGGAGGAAGTCAATAAATTAAATCCTTACATAAAATATGAACAGAGATCATTAATAAACAGGGTAGACTGGAAAGTTATTTCATCATCTTGGTTTTGGACTATTCAGTATTACACGCAGCCACGCCCTCTCCAACCAGAGAACGAACCTAGAACCTACAGGTTACAACACCCAGCTTATTTTTACCATTCAGCTACTTCAGTAAGTTTTTTTTTTTTTGATTTACAGCTTGATTCTACACCGTATTTTCAGCACAAGTGTGGAATTTTCAGCATGGATATCGGTAGCCCAAATTCAGGCTGACCATAGATATCGGGTGTGCGCCGGCAGGGGACCATGTGCATGGTCGGCGAGAGTCCTAACCACTGTGCCACCGACGCACATTGAATGAAGGGTGAACTTTAATTTCTGTCAGTTCATGATATAGCTTTACCGCAAATCAATTTCTTCAAGGAGCATCTACTTCACCCCAGTGACCACGACTCTCTAATACAGCTTCAGGATACCCATCACAGTAGCCGCTAATGAGAGATCATTGAGAACCAACGAGCTCGACCTCGTAACCTGAAGGTAATGGGTTTGATCCATGGTGGAGTCGTGGAAGCGCAATAGGATGAAACAGGTGTCTAGTACTTCCTGGTTTCGAATGATCTCTAAATGATGCTGCATATTGACGAAATCTTCCGACCGATAGCTGCTACCTTAATGTGGTGGTCAGGCTTGCACATCGCAATGATCCAACAAGCTACACTGGCCGGAATTAATGTTCCTCCAGGACCTAACATACCAGGAATATTGTTAGGATGGAGATTAGAATAAAAGCAGTCACCAGAACAGTGTAATATATCTTTAAACATAAGCTGAGAGTCTGTGGACGAAGCCGTTCTGCTGGGGAACAGGGACGTAACAGCAGTAAGGTGTTCGCTTCACATGACCAGCATGCCAGCTATGCTGTCTCTCCACTCTGGAGAGAGAGGGTTAGAAAAGGTTGACCCCAACAATTGTACATCCCAACTTACCTCACGTGGTCCGTAACCGGCGGTAAGTTTATTAATACGGAACAAATCCAAGAAACCAGTTCAGACAAACCGTGTGACCAGCCTCAAGAAGTTGTCCTCTGGGCACTCCTCTGCGGTCATGCAACAGTAACCCTCTTTCTTTTTCAGGTACCCGAAGAACCAATCAACTTCCACGGTGTGGGAAACCGGGAAGTAGCAACCACCCACACACTTCCAAAAGCACAAGAAGCCTTCCTGAGCATCATTCTCCTTTACCCACATCACCTGCATCATCTTACTCTCCTACTACAGTCAGTACTATTCTTCAGGCTAGTGATTCATCTTCACTTCACTCTGTAACCACAAACAACGTTGAGAGCCATAGAAACACCCCCGACAGCCTCTTAAAGCCACGTCGCAAACTACATATAGGAGCTTTCAACGTCAGGACCCTCTGTCAAATCGGACAACAGGCATCACTAGCAAGAACTCTGGCATCTCGACCCATGGATGTATGTTATGTCTCGGAGACTCACATACAGGACCTGAGTATGGTAATTCACTTAACCTCACCCGGCCAACAAGATGAATCTGTAAAATTCACCTTAAGGGTGTCAGGAGACCCCTCAGCAAGTTTGCGAGGACTCGCAGGTGTAGGGATAACATTGAGTGTTAGGGCAGAAAAATCAATTCATGACTGGATCCCAGTAGATAGTCATATGTGTGCGGTTCATCTGAAGGGGTCCGTTAGAAGAATGAAGGGTGGTGTAACACGTCGCTATCTTTTCATAGTCTCCGCTTACGCCCCAACTGACTTCTACCAGGAACTGTCTAGTTTGTTGCAAAAATCAATACGTTCAGATACAGTTGTTTTAGAAGGCAACGTCAATGACCAAGCAGGGAAGTTATGCCAGGCTCAAAAGTACATAGGTGGTACGTACGAAGTTCCCTGCCGACAAACTGACAACGATGATCATCTCCTACAGTTCTGTTCAGATAATCATCTGTTCCTAGTCAGCACTAATTTTAGGCACAAAGAGAGACATTGCCTAACTTGGTGACTTCCATCAGCAAATTGACGCTGGACTCAAATGGACCACATAACGATAGGGTACGGTTGGTGAGGGTCAGTTGAAGACTGCCGCCCCTTCTGGAACACATGCGTAGACTCTGATCACGCCCTGGTTCGCTCACGTTTATGCTTACGATTAAACGGACATAAAAAACTGCTGGAAGCTGAGCAGTTACGCGCCCAACTTGATATGGACACTGAGTCCCTATTTAAGGAAGAAATGACTAAACGCGTATCTGAGATCAACAGCGAGAGTCATCCTGAGGAAGCCTGGCACAATATACAGTTAGCTATAGACACAGCTGTAAAGGCTCTTGATAATAACTTGAAAACAATAGTTAGTAACAGCCAGTGAATTTCTAGTACTTCATCCGAACTGAAAGACGCAATAACACTGATTCCGGCGAGCTCCGATCATGATGAGGAGTGAAAGCTACTGAAACGCAAACTAACAAAAAGCCTTCGTAACGGCCGTAAATAATGGTGGGCGACAAAAGCGAAAGAGATGAAAAACCCTGTTGACCTTGCATATTGCTATTCTTTGTGCCTCAAATTTCTGTTTATCACCTCTGTTTTAAATCCATCTCTACTCTTCTCTTGCTTTGTGTGCTACAAGGAGTGAGAGTGGCAACTTGAACTGCAGCACATCTGTGCAAAGTTCTACGTTGAAACCAGTCAGTCAGTCACATTGGAACTCATCCAAACGCTTGCAAAAAGCTCACAATTCATAGATTTGTTGTACAACTCCCAGTTAATTAACTTGCTTGGTAACTGTTACAACTTAAGATTAAAAATACTGTTACCATCCAGGTGAATAAGTCAGTTTTAGATGATTGATTAGTGATTTTTCAGTTCCAGTAACTCAAAAATAGTAATTTAACTATAGACTAGAGAGGAGACTGAGTAGTAAATAAAAGAAAATGAAATGTTTACACTTACAAAATTAGGTATGTGACATTGATTATCCGATTTACAGTCTAAACGATGTTCACCGATACGTATAGGTACTGGTGCACCGCTGCCTCGACCAGAGGCAAAGAGATTCATTTGTGATAAGCGTAAACGGCGTACCTTCATTTGTTCTGGAGAGAAACTTGCATCAACCGATGACTGTGGTTTACCAAGCGTTGGAAAAATATTACTGGTTGAAAATCGAAATGATTTCGAATTAGAATTCAACGATGCATCAGCATTTGGTATACATATTGTACCTTTGAATTCAAAAATAAAGTCAAACAATATGATATGGACAAGAAAAGGAAGGTAAACATAAGATAAAATAAATTGGTATTAATAAATATTCTATGATGTGTGCAACAAACAACACTGACTTTATGTACTTACTCAGAACACACTCATTTTCACTATACATAGTATGCGTTCAATAAGCTTCTTCGCGAAGAAACACAATATCTACGCTAAGAAAAGCCTAGATGGTTTATTAATCCAATGTAATTCGTATTCTTATAGGCCGAAAAATTATCATTTTAAAAGGATGAAGGAGTAAGACGATTAACAACCTTAACCTTTAACGATCTCAATCAAATCAATTTTGTAACTTATGCCTTTATAATGTTACAACAGAAAAATCCTGTGAAATCTGTGTACCTAGAAGATTGCGCTCTAAGCAATGTCTAAGTTGAATTGTTGACCAACATAATCTTTAATGAGTTATTTGATCAGATCACTTGTAGTTGGCCCAGCAGTTGTACGCTTTGTTAATTATCCTTTATTTCCAACTAGTAGATGAACATCTGTTACGGTTACTTCTACAAAGGAACTGGTAGACAATTAAAATATACTTGTTGTCAATACTGGTGAACATCGAATCTTTTGTTTATTCAAAATGTTCTTCATTTCGCGGGAGACAAGAAGACTATCGTTGCTTAGTCGTATACTACTGGTTAACAAAAGACGGGAGAAATACGATCAGAAGTATAATTATACATTCTATTAACGTTTATTTACAGGCTTGGCTGATAGTAACCCGTATTTTTGTCGCGTTATCAGTGGAAAAATAAACAATCGCATTGGATTTCGGTTCTTTGTTTTCGCACATTGGTTCTGTGTATGGAATTCTGCGTATTACACTTCGTCTTCTGATACCAGCAATAAGTTCAGGATCTTTGTGATCTAGATATTTGACACATGTAGTGTGTTAATATCAACTGAGGATCTTGAAATTCAAATGATTTTTTACAGACCACGATATACTAATTGTCAATATAAAATAAGGCGAAAAGTAAGGTTCACAAGTGAGATAACATATAGAGAACTATCATACTAGTCACTCACTGACGGCTGCTGTATCAGGACTAGATGTAATTTGGTCTTTAAGTCTACTCCTTGTTATATTTTGTCCTGCAAAAACATAGCCCAGTGGTAACGTCTTTGACTGTAGCACTGGGTGACGCGGGTTCAAATCTCAGAAGGGATATGAGCTCCTTCAAAGTTGCAGATACGCCTTGCTGATGAGTGCCAACTAGCACGAAACCTAGGTCCAAGGCTTCCTGTATCCGATTGCCTCCAACTATCTAATATCATCAAATCAATGTGCACCGTGATGGCGAGCTACCTAGAATGGTGGCCACATTGCAAAACCTGACTGATAGAATTCAGTCTGCACCAAAGGAAGGACTAGACACGTCACACTAGTTACTAGTGTCCAATCCAAAAACATTTTCTTTTTCTTTTTATGCAACAAAGGTCCACTTGCGAAGTTGGTAGTAACTTGCTTATTACGTCTATTTTTCAGAACAAATTATCATATTTTAGGAGTTTTCTTCATTTTTATTCACCTTTCGATTAAATGTAATTTATCCCATTTGAGGATGTAATTAATATTGCCCAGTTACTAGAAATCAATGCTTAAGGCATTTCACAGTCTATACACTTGAATAAAGTGAAAGGTAAAAAGGGTAAAACACTTTTTCTTTTCTCTTCCTTTTTAACAATCCACAGCTAGAGATCCTAATTTATGGTTAAAAAAAAAAGAATATTCCTTTAGCGGTAAAACACTACTGGTAATTTATTGTCTCTGTTAGTTGGAATAAAAAGATTCCCGAAATCGATACACCCCTAAAGTACACAGCATATAGTCATGATTAAAGAAGTTCACTGTTACTTACGTCTATCACACTAATATATATAATTATGCGTAAATCTAATATAAAATAATTAACATACCAGTATTAACTTTCTTCTAGATTTGAAAGCTTATCTAATGCACTGATAATATATGTATGTAGATACTGAGTTGAACACACTAAGCAAAAATGCATTTACACGCAAACATAGAGATTTCTTATACAAGTGACTATTGGTGGGGAAAAAAAAGGCATACCAAACTCATTTCTACTAGGGCATGTATAGCGTTATGCATCATGAAAACGATTACAAAACAAACAACAACAACAAAATAAAAAAAAGAAAAGACAATGAATAAAAAGAAGCAGCATACAATTTCGTTGTGCTGTAACTGTGAAGCATTTTACATAATTGAATAACACAATATTATTACTAAATGCATACAGCATAGATGTAAAGCAGTTAGAGAATTAAAAAAAAAGAGAATTTAAATTGTCGTTTTAAGCATTACAGGTAGTCAACAAAAAGTCGAATTAACGCCTAAACAAATATTTGAAAATTAGTATATCGAAATATTTATACACTATTTATTTCCTCTTTTAAACAACTGGACACTAGACTTAATAGTATCATTATATCAGATAGCGAACAAACATTAATACAGATGGGAATTGTTCAGTAAAATGTATAAGAATCACTCTTATATTACACATTATTATTCTCTTGAGTTCTGAGTTGTTATCATTATTATTTCACTCTGTTCTCTGCATTTCTCTTTTCCCTGGCTCTACAATTGTCGATAAGTTTTCATATGCTCGTCACACAGTCTCCTTCATGTCACACTTGGACGCCCATTTAGGTTCCACTGAAAAGGCTTGGCGCACGATTACATTTAACACTCTCCTCAGCTTATATCTAATTCATCTCCGCTTGCTTTTGTATTTATGTTAGCCAATAGGTTTTTGATTAGTTTGCTGCATTGTCGGAGTTCCCTGTCGTTTATCATTCCCAGTATGTCCATAATGTCTGCAGCAAAATGTTGGAAATGCTTTTGGTGACGCAAGAGACAAGTCCATGAACGATACGGAAGTACTAACTTGACATTAGTGTCGAACAATCAGGCACTACATTTCAAAGTAATGAATGGCAGTCTTGCTTTCCCGATTCTGCCTTTGACATCTTCATCCGTGCCTAGTGTTGGCCAAGTAAGTGAACGAGATGAATTCTTTTGGATTTTTCCTACCGAAGGTGATTAGTGCTTGCTGTTGTTGATTATCTTCATCATCTCCGCCTTCTTTTTGTCCACTTGAAGTTCTGTCTTCATTGATTATTTCTGCCAGCTTATTGATTTTGGCCTGTAGATCTTCCAGTTCGTGCCACAATAAACTTAAAGCGTCCGCGAAGTCCAGATCGTTTAGAGTCTTCTGTTGGTTTAACATACGCCTGTCTTCTCGCACTAGACAAGTCAAGTGTGAGGACAATCATTCACTGAAGATATCGAATTACAGTGACATTTTTTTTCAAGCGGCAGAAGTTAAATACGACAACGGAAAAATAGAATATTTGTTACAAAGTCTGACGATTCTGCATCCTATAAACTGCTAGATTATAGGTTCACACTGCTGAAGGATTTCTTACAAGAAGACTACTAAATTACTAAAAGCGGATAAAAATTTAAATAAAAATCTGCTACATCTCAACAAAAAATAACCATACAATGTTCGTGTAACAATAACTTTCAATATGACAAATGAAAGAAAAAGAAACCAAAATCCACACAGTGAATGACTGTTGAAGGTGGAATGAAGATCAGGACGAAAGCAGGATTCAAAACAGCTCCCGCCAAAGTACTAGTCCAGAGGTATTTTACATGACATCAAACTGATAATCATCAGGTCATCGTTTCACTGGAATCACCAACTAACAATATATGCACAGATTCATAGCAAAAAAAGTATAAGCGAACAAAAGATCACCGAATCAAAGAAAGAAAATTGTCGCCCTCATGAAATAAACAAGCAAAATATACAAACAAATGTTACTCCTCTGATGATGTTAGTTTTTTTAAGAATGAAAACTGTGAAATAAATAAAACGAAGAAAATAAAACATAATAACTAAACAAAAAAAACCACTGCCTGGAAATATTCAATAAGGCGGAAAATAAGATTTTACAGGAATTCATTTAGAGATATAATTGACATGATATGTAGATCAAGTAAGCGGAACAATTTTATAATTAGCAGGATAAAGAGTATATATATATATGGTGAGTGATAATGAAGAATACTGGAACAACCACGCAGGTGGTCCAGCATCGACCCACAGTCGACACACTCTTAAACCTCACTTAGTTTATTAGCCAGCAGTTAGCATGGAGAAGAGAGAAGGTTGGGCGTGAGGTCCGCGATTCCAACCCACGCTGAAAACAACATTGCTATTGAAACGTCAAAACTTGTAGCTCTCTATGTTCCACTTGGAACGTAAAGGAATAAACAAAAAAACAGTAAAGATAAGAAAATTTCTGTAAAATGGGTAGAAAACTAAAGTGTTTCCGTGTAAAATAACTCCCAACAAATTTTTAAAGATTTCACTTAAAAATAGGTAGAACACCACTAATACAGGGTTGATTTAAGATAGGTGGAAAAAACGCATTGAATCAATAGAATAAATTTATGAGATAATGTCCCATCATCCTATTTTGAAGTCTTCCAGACGCTAAGTATGTTAATTAACTGGACACTGTTCATTGTATGGCTCAAAAGTGTTCTCAATGGAATGCACAAATGCATTTGCTATGTTTCAAAATCTTAAATTCATTAAATTCTTGTTATTCTTCCTCTAACATATTTCTGTCTCTTTGCGAATCTGTTTTCCATCTACCTTCATGTGTATTTTGAAGGGTGACAATTTAAACCGTTTCACTTTTATGCAAAGTTCTACGCTGAAAATTCAAGTTTAGTTCATCATTTTATTGACAGACACATTCAATACTTAGACAGATAGATATGCACACCAGTGAAGAATATAACGTAGAAGATGAGGAATTAAAGTTACAATCATTATTCTTCACATACATAATATAAATATCACATATTGAAACAGTAAACATGAAAACATAAGCATTAAATAGAAACGATTTGAATTTCTGAAGTATATGAAGTAAACAAAAATAGACATAATAAGAATAGTAAAAATAATAATGATAATAACAGACAAGAAGGGACATTGACTGACTGACTGACTGTATGGTGCCAACCTAAAACTTTCAACAGATGTGCAGCAGTTCAAGTTGCCACTCTCACTCCTTGTAGCACGCAAAGCAAGAGATGGGAGTAAAGAAAGAGACAATAAGAGATAATAATCAGAAGTGTGAGTGAGGGAAAAAGAATAACAATATGGAAGAACAAAATAGTTTTATCGGATATTTGAAGTCACAAGGAGTGCATGCATTTGCACCAGCCATTGAGAACGATTTTGAGCCATATCACCAATCGTCTAGAGTCTTCATTGGTTTGTACCATCCCGAGGACCCCAACCAGTTAGGAAGCCAGTTTACACCTCCCTACATGGCTGGCTGGCTGCCAACTCTTTTCCAACCTGATCCATCCTATGTCAACTAACATTGCCCATTGGTCGACGAAGGCTATGGCTAGGCAAGGCGTATGTAACACATATCTTAACTGTCTCAGTTTGCGTAACTTCGCAGTCTCGTCGATTGATTTCCACTCCTTACCTACCACTCTAATGAAGCCTAGCCTCATTAATACGCACCCTATTATACCAGTTCACATGGGAGATAAAATGCAGACACCCATGATCATAGACAACTAGCCAGCCTTTTCATGTCCTCCACTTTCGATGGCCATGTCTGTCTCACACCTATCATAAAGACAAGGGGACGGATCGAACTCCTGAGCAGCACACACGCCCTTTGGTCGACAGCCAGCTAGCCGGATATCACGTCTACTAAGCTAGAGATGGTGTAAGTCGGCAGGTAAATGCCAAACGAGCATTCTGTATCGGTGGTGAGATTTCTTCAGTAATCAACCCATTGACACTGACTGATGCAACTTCTCGAATAAGTGAAGTGGTCAACACACCCCACCAACCACTTCATTTCTGTCAATGTAGTTCAGACAGTCCTGTAGCATTATCTTACATTTAACAGCAGGAGTGAATCACATGCCAAACATTCTCAGATTGCAGCTCAGTGTGTTCAAAAGACTCTGCATTCTGTCAGCGTCTTCACCTAGTAGATAGGACTATATCATGTGCGTATTCTGAGTGAAGGAGATTATTCGCTGATGGTAAGGAGTCAATCCATGAGTCACTAAAGTCAGTTAGGGTTAAGTCTGCTAGCACATCTTTGAAGAAATTAAACATTAAATGGGGACAGTGGGAAACCCTGATGATGGATAACACCAGTTTTAGGGGATTTAAACTGAAGAGTAAAATAAATACACCTATTTTTAATGATAGAAAACATATTTAAGTAAGATTATACGTACAAATGGATCAGTTCTACTTGTCACGCTTTCAATCAACAACAAAATAAATAGTAGAACAGATAAAGAATGACAACAGAGTAGATAAACAATCAGTTACTAAAGAGGATTAATGTTGTGCTTGATTAATATAAACACACCTGAATTCTCAAATAAAGCATATTTTTTATTTAAGAAAGAGAAATAACTAAAAGGTAAAAACAACAACCCAACTCAACCCAACCTCATCCACCAAAAAATGAAAGAATTATAAAAGTGACAATTAAAAAGAAAAAAAAATTAAAGGTGGATTTACCGTCTGAATTAAATCTATACAATGTTCGATGTGATTTGCGACGTTCTACATATAGAAGCAAAGTATATTTGGTAGGTGTAATGATGTTCCAGATAAAGAAACATTCATTTAGCATTAACATTGAGATAATTATTTTAATTTTTTTTAATAAATAAATAAATAAAAAATAGAGTAGTAAATGACAAACATCACACACACCCCCGACCCAAAAAAAGGAACCAGAAAAAAATTAGTGGAGAATATATCAGGCAGCATTCATGTGCATATATGAATATGTATTATTATAATGTGTGATGTGTTAGTAGTAATGGTAGTAGTAGCAGTAGTAATAGCAAGCACAATGCATGAAGTACACAAGCATACAGATAAATGCATATAGAATGCATTATAGAATGAATCAGTTTTTGCAGGAAAAAAAAAGGAGAATATTTGTCACAAGCAGAAAATGTATAGCCAACAAATGTATGTAGGAAATGAGACAGAGAGATATAGCGACAGACAGGAATTTAAAATACACGCATGTACAGATGCATGCATACATTTGTCAGAGGCAGAACATTACAATACAATACAATACACGGCATTAAAAAAAGGAGAAAAAGAAAACAGGAAAAACACAGTATGATTAGGAAGCGCATTAAATAAATATAATAAGGAATTGAAAAATCACATATGATAAACAACTGTGCTATTAGGAATTTTGGCCAAGTTAAACTTTAGACACCAGTAACTACCAATCAGCGAATGACGTCGAATTATCCAATGAGATTCACGAACGTAGTTCAATGTTGTATAGCGCTCGATTCATTTCAGTGCGTGCCCTTACAAGGTTACGTTTGCATATTGAGGAGGATATTGTCTTTCAGTATTGGACTTAGGCTTGTTTCGAAAGGAGAGAAGTTGTTCGTGTGGTTGTGTAGTGACTCTAAAAAATTACTATTTCAACTGATGGTTTTGTACATCGTTGGGGAATATGCTGGAAGCGAGTTAGTATTAGAGAGGGTAATATTTTGTAGGAAATTTTTTTGCTAGGTCGTATCTCTCCCTAACCCAGATTTTGTACATTTACAATTACTGGCTACTGAAACAGTCCGTGAGAGCCGCTGCTCCCGAGACGGAGAACAGCGTCGTCTAGACAGTTCAGTGGTACCAGCACTACAGAGATATCGCCTTATGGAAAATGTACAGAATTACTTCGTTGTTAGGCGGGGACGTTGTAGTAGTCCTTGTGTATGAGACAGTGTTGGTGAAGAAGAAATATAACGGCGGTCGTCAGAGAGCGAACAACATTTGGGTTATAGGTTTATACGACACGTCCCTCCGAAAAAGATTTGTTGAGAAAATAGCAGACAGGAAGACGACTACTCTGATACCTTTTATAAAGCGACTTGTGAAGCCGGGATCAATTGTACATACCGACGAGTGGTAAGGCTATGATGTGGTGTGACTTCTCTCTTGACAGTCCCACGCTGAATTGGGAAATGTTTCTCTCCCATGTTCGGGAAAGAAACCCATTGTAACCGTTTTATCATTTTTTTATGCATTTTTCTATAAATATACGTTACCGCTTATCATAAACGCTTATTTCATGTGATTGGTCCGTTCAAGGTCGTTTGCTGATTGGTTGTTACTGGTGTCTAAAGTTTAACTTTGCCGGAATTTTTATTTCTCTTGCTATAATAAGCATAATTTTGTATCTTAATTACACACACACAGGCTTATGAAAAATTAAGATTAAATTGTTAGACTAAAAAATACGTTTGTGTTATCAACATGTAGCCCGTGTACCGTGTAGACACAGTAGCACACACAGGTGGGGGATTTAGGGGACGAAATATTTTGCGTATTAATCATTCATTGTTGCGTTTTTCTTTTCTTTTCTTTTTGAAATTTAACTGCAGTTATTACTGAATTTTACGATTTTTTTATAAATGCGTAATTGTAGGGAAACACACAACAGCGGAAAAAAAACACAGATGTAAGCTAACCACTTTCGATATGTTGAACAACACTAACCTGTTGATAAGGTCTTGAATAGCATAGACACCAACCCATCAAACGATGATGTTTCTATACGCACACACGCAAACAAACACACAGACACACGCACGCAAACACACAACGCAGACAGACGCAGATATAACATGAAATGAAACGATGTTTATTTAAACAAAACAACATTTTTATGCTTATCATTGTTGTCTCAATTTTATCAAATGAATAAATTTCACACTTCAATAACAATTATATTATGCGTTACATATTACTTTTCTAACTGGATATACGAACAGATTCGCACATATAATACTTAAGTATACCTCTCATTCGAAAAAGCTTTCGCAGACATCGTTAGACATCAAAGTGGTGAATCAGAGACTGAAAAGAAACAACTGTGTCAGTGACAGTTACTCATACTGAATTTATACCAATTATAATTCGTTAAATTTCAGTGCCACCTTTTTTTATTCATAAAGATTAGGTTAAAAAATGTCGCTTGTTTTTCGCCTAGTCTAGTACTACAGTAGTGTGTGCTACTGATAAGATTTATCAGTAGTATATAAACAGACGTCCATCGATATAAAAATATCACAATTGCAAGGAGATAGATTTGACATCAATCAGGGCAAATGATTCAGCGTCTCGGAAGAACATGGAAGACGTGAAAAGGAAGACAAAGAAACACAATACGAAGGACAAAAGTAGCACACAACACCGAAGATCTGTGCAAATGATAACTTAGAGATAAGCTTTACGTAATTTCGCTACATAAAGATTCCCATACCAAGTGTCTTGTCTTCCAACAACACACTACCACTACTACAGGGTACTTTTAAAGTAGTCTTAACTCCATAGTCCAGTATAAAAATGATTGGGGTGCGAGTGGATTGTGTGTACAGAATGAAGGAGAAAGCTTGATAGGATTTTTGGAGATCAGCCTCAGTCAAATTTGTCAGTAATACATTCAGATTTCTCAAATAGCTGATGATAAGATAGTCTTAAGATAAGGTTACCAAGTTCATTAGAGAATGACCAGAAGTTCTAAACGCTTAACTGAAGCCTTATAAACTGTCAATACTAAAAAAATTGTTACGGAAACTGCTTAAAAGAAAGAGAAACACTACTACCACACAAATCGTCAGACCCTGAATACAACAGGACCCTCAACAACAAAAAAAGCACAGAGTTTCTTTAAACTACAGAAACCCTTCTGACTGTACAAAACAGACAAGTGTGATGAAAATAAAAACGGTATTACTGATGATCTACAAAGATGAGGTATCAACTGTTAATCTGTATATTATGTACAGTCTCATAAGCTACTAGAGTAAATGTAGTAAATAGGTTGAATGAGAACAATAGCTGTGGTGAGAGCTGGCTGCTAGCCAAAGTTGGTAGACAGTAATTGACGTCAGTGTTTATGGAACCCAATATTGGTGGTGAGAAAATGAGAACAAAGGCTTTGCGTAGGCGGATACAGTTAGCATATGGATGATCTGACACAGCCACAAAGAGATGCAAGGTTAACTTTCTGTGAGAAACAACCAATCAAAAGACTGTATTTTCTACTAACAATAATCTACAATAATGTACATTAAAATCTATAAATATGTGTTGATTTTCCTTAATAAACGATCTATCTGTTGCCTGGCCCTTGTCTTCTGTTGTTACACAGCTTATTCTTAAGTGAAAATACAGCCTTTTCATCGAATGAATAATTTCATTCATACTACCATTTTATAAAGTAAACGTCGACATACAGTCATTTAAAAACAATTGGAACTGTCACTTAGGATAATAATAAATATTATAATAATAATAAAAGTAATGATAATAATTACTTGTTGATAATTTGGCATCATTGAATCGATGACTTTGTCCATCAGCTGTATTTGTTAAATTGCCATCATCAATTGAATTTCTATTGATATGTTCATCTGTTGAATGAATAGCTGTCAGTGAACCAGATATAGGATGAGTTTTACGTGGATGTGCTAATGGTGGTAGAGCATCAGGTCTGCTGGTTGGTGCTAAATAATTTGAACGGGATTGTTGCAGCAGACTACGTGCTTTAGCCAACATATGCTCATAATTCATTAGAGGAATTTTCTATTATTATTTTTTTTTACCAATGGAAATACAAAAGAATATGGGCAAAAAATTACAACGATTATTACGAAGAAATAAATTAATCTTCACGGGATACATAACTTTTTCTGTCTAACACACTATGGTATATTTTAGAGAACAAAGTGTAGGGTATAACGAATAAATTCTTTTATAAATATCACTCATAAGACTGTTGTTCAAAAATTAAAACTGACGAGGTTACCTTATAAAAAAATGTTTTAAAGTTATACTCTAAGTATCCCAAATGGCATACGAGTCTACGAAAGATTTTACTATTTGTGATACAAAACGAAATGCATCAATAACCAATAAACGCCAAATCAACCAGAGTGGACTAAGAATGCAGGAAATTGTCTTGTTTGTTGATGGCTAGACAGTAAATTCAACGACTGGGATGTAATTGTATTCCACTGAGTGATAGACTTCTCCCGCCTGGACTCAAAACTAGCATTGATTGTTTGAAAGTGTACACGCTAAGAGAACCCCCACTACTCCGTGCAATTAATATTAATTTATTATTCATACCTATACTTATGATTGCCTGACTACTTTACTGTAGTGAATTGATAAGTGAGTATCTTTTGGCACAAATGGGGGGCACAGCTATTTTGTTATGATTTGGTTTGATGACAATGCTAGCAGTGGAATTATACATGCTTGTTCTTGATGAAAAATTCTAAATATGTTGCAAAACAATCTCACCAATAATGAGAAGATGAAAGAGTGCACAAATATATACGGGGAGATATTTGTGTGCAGTTACATCAAGCAAGTATACTTTATCTTTAAGGATCCAGAAACAAAAACTCCGACCAAAGCGAGTTACTCATTTGAAAAAAATACCCTGAATATCTTCAGGTATCCCGAACAAACACATAATAATATGCGGTACCAATCAACATTTTCAGGTGAAATATCCTCAAGGAGACATATTCTGTTTAATAAAAAGCACCATCGCACTACGGAAACTTCCACGTTTGAAGCCCTAATTTCCACTAGTGACTCAAAGAATGAAAAATAGGGTCTAAGGACGCTAAAGCTCAAAATTTATCATTGACAACAGACAGGTAAGCAACCCATCTCTGTAGAGTATTTATTACTACTTTTTCTGTTTTAAACTTGATAGTGATAAATATTTATCACATTTTTACGAGTTGATCACAGATTGATATCAGTTAGAGAACCATTGAAAACCAGCTGGGAGTACTGGACAGCTGCTGTTTCATCCTAGTTTGGGAATCATCGGCAGTACGCACCCACTGGGATTCGAACCCAGGACCTTCCGGTTACAAGGCAATCTCGTATACCATTCAGCCTCTGGGACCCGATTCAATGGCTCACGAATTGGTAGAAGTTAGAATTCATGAGCCATTGAATTGGGTCCCAGAGGCTGAGTTGTGTACGAGCTTGCCTTGTAACCGGAAGGTCCTGGGTTCGAATCCCAGTGGGTGCGTACTGCCGATGATTCCCAAACTAGGATGAAACAGCAGCTTTCCAGTACTCCCTAGTTTTCAATGGTTCTCTAAGTGATATCAATCCGTGATCAACTCGTAAAAACATAACTAACCCTTACAAACCAAACTATAGGAAAAATTAATCTGATGCTCGCTAGTGACTTGCTACAGGATGGAGTTCTAGTGAGAATTCGTGACCAGTGAGGTCCAATTAGATGTCACGTGTGTGGATGGATGTACCATCAACGACAATGGTTGGGGTCGCGCTAAATCACGAATGGGTAGGAGTTAGAATTCACGAGCCATTGAATCGGGTCCCAGTGGTTGAATGGTATACAAGCTTGCCTTGTAACCGGAAGGTCCTGGGTTCGAACCCCAGTGTAGTGGGTTAGTATTGCCGAAGATTCCCAAACTAGGATGAAACAGCAGCTGTCCAGTACTCCCTACTGGTTTTCAATCGTTCTCTAACTGATATCAATCTGTGATCAAATCGTAAAAACATAACTAACCCTTACAAACCAAACTATAGAAAATTTATCATATTATTGAAAAGTAGGACGATTATTACCTCAAAACTCCTACCTTCAGAAAACATATGGTATATCGAAAATCTATGTTTTTCATCTGGAAACGATTAATGAGTGTAAATATTGATGTTTGACAATCTTCCCGACATAAATTTAAATCAATATCTTATCTTTTAGTTCTAGAAATATTGAAACCTGGTTTGAACAGAAGATACACAAATTTTATGTCGACAAATCGCAGTATTATAGATGAAATTACTTGAAGTAACCTTAGATTGACAGATTGATAGTGATGAAATGAGTTACAATTAAAGGTGAAATGCAAACCTAAGTTGTGGCACGAGAGATTGAACCAGTAACCTCCAAATTACTAACCTGTTCTTATTTCTGAGTGGAACATAGAGCTTCCAGCTTTGAAGTTCCACTGGAGTTTTTTTCTCTCTCTCTTTTCAAGGTCTACAACAGACTAGGTGAGGTTTAGGCGTGTATCGGCCTGGAATCGAAACCAAACATCTCAGTAATTGGCAAGCATCATACCACTTAACCAATGATACACAGATTACTAGTCCGGCACTCATTAAACCGCAATCGGTGTGTGTGTGTCGATTCAAGGCTATCTCAAATAGTTTAACCAACAATTAACAGTATGCTTCCCTCCCCGAAATTCTATATAATTATGATTTGCAGGAGAAGACCTAGCTGACTAGCTGATGAGATGACCGCCCATGTATATGAAGGCTAGGTTGGGCATGACATATGACGATTACAGGAGAATGATAACCAAGTCATCAATTGGGTCGTCTCGTAGGTTAGCTAGTAGACTTAAACATAAAATAAATGAAATGAACTCATTAAGTGCACTTATCACATAAAATCTCATTTCTACAGTAGGTAGGTTTTAATAAAAGAAAGCAGAAGAAGAAGAAATTAAACGATGTGGATCAATTAGTCTATAACTTAGTTTATTTGAGTATGATAGCTTAAGAGAACTTGTTGTATTGTAGAAATCACCTAATAATCAAAAACTAAGGCTATAAAGAACTATATAAATACACAATTATAATTATTGACTGGAGTAAAATTGATAGTAACAGAGTGATAATCGTTATTAATAAATAGATTTATTGCATGGAGGATTTCATCATGAGCTGATATCAGTTAGAGAACCACTGGAAAACCTGGGAGTACTGGACAGCCATTTCGTCCTAGTTCGGGACTCTTCGGTAGTACGCACGCACCGGGATTCGAACCCACCCAGGCAGTTAACCTGAGGTTCTAGTGGGAAACCGTCACCAATAGGGTACAGCAGATTGAAGATGAGGCAGTAACTCATCGAAGAAGACATTGCGAAATGGTCGCGCTATGTCGTGAATTGGCAGAAGTTAGAATTCAAGAACCATTGGATCGGGTCCCAGTAGCTCAATGGTTTACGAGCTCGGCTTGTAACCAGAAGTTCTTGGGTTCGAATCCCGGTGGGTGCGTACTACTGATGAGTCCCAAACTAGGACCACAGAAACAGCTGTCCAGTACTCCCAGATTTTCTAGTGGTCTCCAACTGATGTCAGCTCATGATGAAATCCTCCATGCAATCAAACAAAATCGCTACAAAACCAATACTTGAAAATAGATTTATAAATAGAATTACTTTTTTAATGGGTGTTGATGTTACAGGCTTGTCTGCAAGATGGTTCAAGTTCTCTTCTGTACCATTTAATTTCTCATCTGTTGAATCATTAATTTGTTGAGGATGATTATTCGTTGTTTTAGATGGCATTGACCTATAAGGGAAACAAGAAACAAGAAAAGAAAAAAAGAAAGACTGAAATTAGAACTGTATGAAATCAAGTATTCAAAAGTAGCAGTAGTAGAACATTAGAGCATTTCATGCTTGTACCGTGACATATTTTCACATTCACTTATACTACTATTTTGCTGCTAATGAAAATAATATCAACAGTTAATTCACGATAATATTTTCATTGAAATTTACTAGGTACAGAAAACGTGAGAAGACAGAAAACAAACAACGATGACATCGTATGTCATGAGGTAATCATTAAAATGACAAATCTTAAGCATAGGTGTAAAAATGACACGAAGTCGAGGGACATTTGTCTGACAAGTAATAAAATATTCTTTTTAAAAATACATCGAAACGACTACTGCCAATCACTTACCTGCTACCATTCAGCGATTTGTGCCTAGTTTATTCTCTCAAACGGATACAGTTAAGCTACTAAAAAAAGTTAACTTTTTATTCATTTTTCATTTATTTACTGAGGATAGGTGACATATTTCGATAGTGAATAGTAAAACGAATTATAAGGTTAAAATGTCTATTAAACTGAGCAGAAATTGACACACAAAAGTTTCTGTTTCTCCATAACAACAATTCTGTGACGTTATGTTGTGTCAAGGAATAACGTATAAATAGTGTCCCAAAGTGCCTCGGTGGCACAGCGGTTAGCACGCTAGCCAACCATGCACATGGTCCGGGATTCGATCCCCAGCCGGCGCACTCCTTCACCTCGCTAAGCCAGAAATAAAGCTGGTAAAGAGGAAAGGTTGGGCATGAGGTTAGTAACGCCATCCTGTAAAAATAATCACCACTGCTACAGAAACTTCAAGCTTCTAGCCTGAAGCCCTATGTTCCACTGGGAACGTGAAGGAAAACAAAAAAGTGTCCCAAAACATAACACAGTTTACAATAAATAAAGAGTTCCTTTTCAGAAGTATACACTTGCATTTTTCATAGAGGGACATTTATTTACTAACATTATGAATGAGTTGCTCCAATTCAAACGAATCATAAGAATGCATGGTTTGTCGAAGGAAGCATAAACTTGCCTTGATTTAAAATCAGTTGTGTATATAGGTGATCCAAGAATCTAAAACAAACGGCGATTCAAATAACCTTGGTTACCAGTAACCATGGAGAAGTAACTTATGATTATCTTCCATTGTTTCGTCGGTCAGAAAGTCAATAAATTCAAAGAATGATTCTTCAAGGCAACCCACCTGTTTTAGTTTTACGACTGGGTTATTATTTTAACCCTCAGTAACAATGATGAATAAGAAACTCCCAACACTTGAATTTTGCAAGATTCTGTAGTTATACAACAACATGCACCTACTAAGTCTATTCGCTTTCGCCAAGTAGTTGCTATTCTATAAAAGAAAAACTAAAGCATTTATTGTCACTTTTTTGCTCTTGAATTCGTTTCCATTTTCCAGATGCTTTTAGTCGCCTGGCCTCATCAGTCAATGAAATCCACAACAGTTAGTCTAAGCCACGTAGGAAGGTGTAGACTTCCTGACTGGTTGGGGGGTCCTCGGGACGGCAAAAACCAATGGTTGGAAACAATTGGTAACATGGCTCAAAGGGATCGTTCTCAATGGCTGGTGCAGATGCGTCCACTCCTTGTTACTTATGGTTTCCAATGAAACTGTTTTGTTCTTCGTTATTACTATTCCTTTGTCTCACATCTCTGTTTACTGTCTCTGTTTTGCATTTCTTCTACTTCCTTTTCTTGCTTCGTGTGCTACATGGAGTGTGGCGACTTGAACTGCTGGACATATGTGCAAAGTTCTATGTCGAAAGTAGACAGACAGACAGTCGCCTGAAATTCTGTAGTTTTCGGTCTTCAAACAGTGACCTTTACAAAGCGGCATACCACTGAGATATGAAACACAGTTAACCTGTCACCAAGTATACCGTTTAAAATTTCCATTGGGAATGTCCTCAGTGCGAAGAGCAGCCAAAAGCAAGATCATATTACGGCTTTAAAAGGCATCGATTATGATGTGTGACTCGCCTCAGAGATCTAGCACAGTGCCTCGAATCACATCTGCAACTACTAGCTCAAATAATATACTTATTTAAGGACTCTCAGAAATCGCAATATGATAACAAAGAGATAGTCAACCTATGACGTAGGTATGTGAAGCAAAGAGGTTTGTACAGCACAAACACTAAGTGATAAATCACGAGTCGCTAAATGGAGTTAGATCATATTGTGCAGGTGATTAGGTAAAGATGCTATCATAAAGGGTACTAACTGCTTTAAATACTCTCTTGTATCAGACAACATTAAAATATGGAGATCATACTGCAACTTTCTCGTTTCTTCTGTTTTTAAAAAGTAATATGAATTAATGAAAAGTTTCCAGAATTTACATTATGAAAATACGTATTTTATTCTTCTGTTATTCACAAACTTTTTACTCTTCAACCTTCTCTACATATCGTTGGTATGCTAGTGTGTACATCATATTTTTGGTATCCATAATATCATGGCCTGTTCGAAAATATGTCGACATCCATAATTAAGACAGATGCACACTATATAAGACAAGTTAATTTGTTTAATGAGATTAACATCTCTCTCGCTCTTGTTAAGTGATCTATTTTCAAAACTGCATGCTATTCTAAATACAGACAATATTGATCATTCTAGATGCTGTGAAATGTACTCATCTTTTTGATTTAACATAAAGTAGTATATGGTAATGTGTGTCCGTGGTACCTCAGCCGGAAAAGCAAGAGAGTTGGGCGTTAGGATAACAAACCCATTTCTTAAAAACAACCCACACCTACTGAAACTGCCTAACTGACCTTAGCGACTGACAGATTGACTCCTTACCATCAGCGAATAATCTCCTTCACTCAGAATATGCACATGATATAGTCATACCTACTGGGTGAAGACGCTGACAGAATGCAGTCTTTTGAACACACTGAGCTGCAATGTGAGAATGTTTCACAAGTGATTCACTCCTGCTGTCAAATGTAAGCTGGTCCTACAGAATTGACTGAACTACATTGACTCCTAGATTAAAGATAGACAGGAGTGAAGTGGTTGGTGGGGCATCAGCCAGTTCCAGTGGGTTGATTGGTGAAGAAATCTCACCACTGATACAGAAGACTCGTTTGGCATTTATCTGCCAACATACACCATCTCTACCTTAGTAGACGTAATATCTGGCTAGCTGGCTGTCGAACTGCTCAGCAGTTCGATCCGTCCTCTTCCTTTATGACAGGTGTGCAACAGACAGCCATCGAAAGTGGAAGTCATAAAAAGTTTGATTAGTTGTCGTTGATCATGTGTGACTTCGTTCTATCTCCTGTATGAAGTGGGATAATGGGGTGAGCATTATTGAGGTTAGGCTTCGGTTGAGAGTTAGGTAAGGAGTGAGAATCAGTTGGTTAAGTTGTGAAGTTACATCGATTCAGATGGTTAGCACATGTGTTAAATATACCTAATCAAGCCACCGCCTTCCTCGACCGACAGTCAATGTTAGCTGACATAGAATGGATCAAGTTGGAAAAGAGTTGGCTAGTGGTGGTCAAATTGAAACATGTTTTCATCAGTCAGTTGATGAGACCCTCAAAAGTTAGTTTAAGTCAGCCAGCCAGCCATGTAGGGAGGTGTACACTGGCTTCCTAACTGGTTGAGGTCCTCGGGATGGTTCAAACCAAAGAAGGCTGGAGACAATTGGTGATGTGGCTCAAAGTCGTTCTCAATGGCTGGTGCAGATGCATCCACTCCTGGTGATAAGTCATACCCAATAAAACCCTATTGTTCTTCCATATTACTATTCTTTTTGCCTCATATTTCTGTTTATCATCTCTTTCTTTACTCCCATCTCTTGCTTTGTGTGCTACAAGGAGTGAGAGTGGCAACTCGAACTGCTGCACATCTGTGCAAAGTTCTGTGCTGAAACCAGCGAGTCATTGAAATTTCAAAGCTTAAAGTCTACTATGTTCTACTATGACTGTAAGGAATGCGGAAAAAAAGTATGCAGCACGAAAATCTTATCGAACATTAGGAACAATTAGTTATTGACCAAATGCAAATGCGAAATTAGACGCTAAGGGAATATAAAAATTTGATTCGATTATCATACGATAGCTTTCAACGTAAATAAATATTTCTTTTAAATAAAATAAAACTGCCAGTAAGTATTAACTGCCATGCCCTAAGGCATCTTTTTTAAAAAAAAAACAAATTTAATTACAAAATAAATACGGTTATTCAAAAAAAAAAGAAGAAGTAATTACTCTGTTGTATTGTTTTTCTTCTTCTCCTCAACAGCAACAACAGGAGTTGGTTTGGTAACTTTAGCAAAACAATGTTCAAGCACTCCACTGAACAATGATCCATCATTATTTGAACATGTAGAGCCTGAATTATTATTATTACTTTTTGTTGTTGTTGTTTGTTCACAGCACAATGTTCGAATTTGATGTAGATATGTCATCATACTGAGTAGATCAGGTGGTCGAGTTTTACAGACTACTTCACTTGGATCTAACATTCGAGGTACACCCAATTTAGAAGCAACATCAAATGCTAAACGACAATTTTGAGAAGCATTATCCGGTGACAGTGAATCATAATCACTATAAAAAAATAAATAAAACATGTAGGTGTGTAGAAAAATAATTCTGATAAGAAAAGAAAAAAAGTGAAGATCGATAAGTTGTAAAATGAAAACCGATTTCAGAAAACAAAAAACTCTCATGACAACATGATGAAGACACTAATACGACGTTGGAATGACGAAGAAAATGTTTGTTTGTTTTTCTTGTTAAACACCAAAGTTAAAATAACTAACGGTCGACTTATCAACAAATCACAGCAGCTTCCTTTACATAAGCTAACAGTATGAAAACAATACAACCTATGAATTCCACTAAACTAAATATTTATTGGTGCGTCGATGGCATAGCGGTTAGGAAGCTCGCCGACCATGCACATGGTCCGGGGTTCGATCCCCAGCCGACGCACTCCTTCACCTCGCTAAGCCAGAAGTAATGCTGATGAAGAGGAAAGGTTGGGCATGAGGCTAGCAACTCCATCCTGTAAAATAAACACTGCCACAGAAACTTCAAGCCACTAGCCTGAAGCCCTATGTTCCACTGGGAACGTGAAGGGAAAAATATTTATTGACTAACTTAGTGCATACAAAACAGAACATTTTTAGCCTAAAGTGTGTTAGTGTTTTGAATGAATTGTTCTTAAAAAAAAATACACACCTCCTTTTGAATAAAGATTTCAATTACATTTTAGTCATAGCCTTTAAAGCAACTTTATAGACTGTTAAAAATTTACACAGAAGATGACCACCATATCGTTAATGAAGATTCGGCGGTTACAAGGAGATCATTTTGTAGAGAAGAGCTGTCAACACTTCCGCAGGTATGATGTGTACATCGATAAAAAAGCTTCCGATTAAAATTTGTTTACTCCAAGTTAGCAATGAAGTTGCTTTCGATTCGAAACAAAGAATAGACGAACTATAGGAGCGGAAGTCATCTTCGTATGAAGAGGTTTTTTGTTGGTGATACATCAAAAAAATTTCCCTACACTGTTAAGTCAATCTGTTATTAGAGCTTATAAGTACACCTTTTACATTCACGAAATGATTACTAAATATTATTATTATTATTATTGTTCCCTTGGGCTTCAACAGCGCATCTTCACTTTGTCCAATTTTTTGAGGTCCTCTATAGCTGGCCCCACGACTGCCCATAGTCTCTGATCTCCTCCTCTCACGATCTCTTTCATGTCACACGCATCGTTTCTCATTTGGATTCCATTCGAGAGCCTGACTCACGATATCATTTGACAGTCTCTTCAGTGTGTGTCCGATCCATCCGCACATATTTATTGAGCAATAGTTTCTTGATTGGTTTGTTCCCAGAGTTTCTTGATGCAAATTTTTTCTGGCCAACCGTTTGATCTTTAATATTGAGCCAGCAAAAGCAGCACTTGATAAAAGTCTGCAACCTATCTGGAATGCTTCTCGTGACACATGCGCCAAGTGTCTGACCAGTATAAAAGAACTGACTTAACATTTGTGTTGAAAATCCAACTCTTGTTCTTTATGATGAATGAAGCAGATTTCCAAATTGATTTCAGAGTGATGCAGCTTCCTCTTGACTTTCAGATTCTGGCTGGCTTTGACATTTTCATCCGTGCCGACTTCCTGTCGTAGAAACGATGCTGCTCCAGGTAATTAAAGGCAGTTACCTCTTTCAAATTTATCCCATTGATGAGGATTGGTGCTTCTTCTTGTTGTTGCTGTTGCTGTTGGCTAGTTAGTTAGTTACTTTCATCACCTCTTTCTTCTCTATATTCACCTCGAATCCTGTCTTCACCGGTTGCTTCTTCAACCAGTTTCTTTTCTTTTCACCTGTAGGTCTTTGAGTTTGTATGTCATTCAGCATAAATTCGTCTACGAAATCTAGATCTTTTAGAGTCTTGTTATCGGTCCAACGTATTCCCGGCTTCTTGCTCCCCACAGTCTGCCACAATTGGGAATATCGTCGGTGATAAAAGACAGTCTTTTCTTAATCCCGTATTCAATTCAAACACCTTGCTGGGTTTTCCGTTGTGGATTACATTGACACATGCCATTGTCATATAGACTGTGGCGTTAAAAATAACCTTAACACTAATACACCTTTTTTGATATCTCGTGTTGCATAACATACTAAAATAATGAGACAGTAAGGAAATGAAATTCACTCAGTACTTAGGGACAAACAAAATGTGTAAACCGAAATCCATGCAAAAAAGTCAACAATGAAATATCAGGTCAAAATGAAACACATATTAACAATTAATCAAATTAAGATTTCATTATTATTTTGTTTTAAGTTTCACAGTTACATTAATTCTTGCACCTAGTAATAACAAAATGTAAAAAAATTCATATTACCGGTAATTATGACAGTTATATACAAAGGTTTAAGATATACACACCCTATTACATATAACAATGAAACATATCATCGATGTATCAATCAAGAGAAATAATGATTTTCCAAAAAAATCTACATTTGGTACCTTATATGAATGTAATTTGCTAATTTGCGAAATAAATAAGTCATAGAAAACATACGATATAGATTAATAAGTAGCAGAGAATATTATATAACAATGTTTCAGGTATTGTTTATGTATCGTAGAATTTTAGGAGGTAGGCAACCATGGTGTCACACATTCTCGTATTCTTAATATACAGACAGTAAGCCACACTATTTTTTTTTATTCCTTTACGTTCTCAGTGGAACATAGGGCTTCAAGCTAGAGGCTTGAAATTTCGGTAGCAGTGGTGTTTATTTTTACGGGATGATGTTGATAGCCTCATGCCCAACCTTTCTCTCTTTGCCAGTCTTATTAGTGGCTTAACGAGGTAAAGGAGTGCATCGGCCAGCGATCGAACCCCACACCACATGCGTTGTTGGCGAGCATTCTACTGCTGTGCCACAGACGCAGTTGTATACTATATATATATATATATATATATATATATATATATATATAACTTAAAGCATCCAATTTTAAAGTTTAATATACACATTAGGAAATCTATGGATTGCATAATTCATTTGAAAAGTCAAATGAAACAGATATTTGGTAAATCTTAAGTGTAGTCAAGGGATTACTAGTTATCAGATATTAACATTTACCAAGAATTCTTAATACATGAAGTTTATAGAAAATTCAATTTGCATATGACCTGTAAATAATAAAATTAGATGGGAATTACAAGTTTAATATACAAACACAGAGAATTAATTAGTTAATTAATTAATGGATTTCTATTTCGCAGAACAAAAGAAAAAGAAAACAACTTACATTCGATCTGGGAAAAAGTGATGTAAGATAGCGCAAAGTGCCAAACCATTTTGAAATGATGTAGTAAGATCAATTATCTGTATATTATCATATTCTTTAGTCACTTGTTGACACCATACAAGCAGATCATATCGACTTTGAGTTGACATAGCTTTTAATCTATTTGACACATGTACAGAAAACAAGAAACAAAACAAATTAAATCGGCAGGTAGATATAAACTCGAATTCACTAAGGTATCCTTTGGAAGCTAAAAATATTTAGATCACAGTAGGAAATAAAGTCCTATAAACGACCTGGTACGGCTGAGGTGGACTTAGCACTTTCTCTTGAAATGTTCACATGTCGTCACGCGTACACAGGCCTCTGTCAAGTAAGTGCTATTCACTACCTTCATGCGGTGGGGATGTTACCCACAAAAGTGAAGGGGCGAATAAGAACCGGACTGGTGACATGCTGGTCTACCTAGAGGAGATGGAAAACTCTAAATCCAAACCCATGATGTACGTGGACCTCAGAATCCGAAAGGAAAGAATGGCATATAAACTTGTTTCGGTCACCAAAATCCATGGGAATGTAGCACCTGGTGCTGCTCCAGTGTCTTGCAGATCAGCATTCAATGCAAAAGCTTCTTAAGACCACCACTTATTTCGGCCTGGGCGTCCAGACAGTATCCAAGCTTCCCAACGAACTATGGTATGTCTACTTAAATTATTCATTCAAATAATTCTTTTCTTTTCACTTACCTTAGGAAACTGCATTAAAGACAGAAAATTGTGCAGCGATTCGTGTGAATTTGTGCTTGCTTTCTGTTCATAACAATAAAGCCTTTCTCATACTACTTTAAGATATTATGGTCTGATGTCATGATTAATTAGGGAATAAGCATAAAAGATAATTACCTAATTCAAATGAAATGACTAACATTCTAATTATATACGTATATATGCTTTCATTTTTAACTATCTGAGAAAATAATTCATTAAAATTTAAAAATTAACAATATAGGGACTATGATGTTTAATCACATCCCTTGTTTTGTGTGTTATTTACTGTGTACATTCAACCATATTTTGCCATAAAAAGTAAACTTTGGTTACTGGTTTTCTTTTCTTCTCACAACTAGATTTTCGACCTATCACAGTTAATAATCATAACGTGAAATTTTTACTGTAGTTTAGAGAAAATTTGTATGAATAAAAAAGTGATCGTTTATTAGTGTTTACTAACTTAATAGTTAGCCATTGCGACTTCATATTGTCTGAAAAGTAATACGAATTAGCGAATTATCAAGACAACTGTAGGGCAGAGTTGTTTTTTTTTCGACTCACAATTACGTAAGTTGTGAAAAATGCATATAGGACAAAAGTGATTATATTTTAAAACATTAAAATATCGTTTTAGATTTTTAATCTAAGATGAATTTAGATCTCAGATTAACTGTACTTTGAAGTGGAGACATGAGAGATACAAGGCTGCGCACTATCGCCAATGATTCTCCTGACTGTTGTAGACTGGATCATGTGGCAGGTTGTGGGGAGCGAGAAGACGCGAATATGTTGGACCGATAACAAGACTCTAGAAGATCTAGATTTCGTAGAAGAACTTATGTTTAATGACATACGAACTCAAAGACCTACAGGCGAAAACAAAAAACTGGTTGAAAAAGCAGTCAGTGAAGACAGGACTCCAGGTAAATATAAAGAAAGAAGTGATGAAAGTAACTAATGAACTAACCAACAGTAATAGTAACAACAACAACAAGAAGCACCAATCCCCATCGATGGGAGAAATTTGAAAGAGGTAACTGCCTTCACTTATCTGGGGCAGCATCGTTTCAACACTATGAAATCAATTTGGAAGTCCACTTCATTCATCATAAAGAACAAGAGTTGGATTTCCAACACTAATGTCAAGTCAGTCGCTGGTTCCTTACAGAAAATCAAATGGCCAAACACGATTAGCAACAAGGAACTCCGGCATCGAACTAACCAAGAACGTATTGGCTAACAAATACATGGAATCGAAATGGAAATGCATCAGATACACGCTGAGGAGACCGCTGGATGACATCATGCATCGTATCCTCAAGTAGAGTCCAAATGGAAAACAGCCAGTTGGACCTCCAAGGGTGACGTAGAGGGGGATATATATTTTTTAATATTTTGATTATAGCTTGATTTGACACCGTATTTTTGGGTACAAGTATGGAATTTTCAGCATGTGATATCCATAGCCCAAATTTCGCAGGCCGACCAATTGATATAAGGTGTGTATCGGTAGGGATCGAACCCCGGAGGGCTTATTGGCAAATGTGGAGCCAGCTAAGGAGAAGTGCAGAGAATAGAATGAAATGGAGACGTACTGTTGAAGCCCTATGTTTCACTCGGAACCAAAAAGAATGACAAAGATTTTACTCACATAAATACATAAGAGGGTAATAGAAACAATGAAATGAAATGAAACTCGGTCACTAGACACATATTTTCACGTATTCGTCTCATGAATCGACTATGATACTAATCGATCATCTAGGCCATATGAGTTCTGAACGCATAATCTTGAAAACTGTTCACTTAACTGACTGAATCACACCTCCACACACACACACACAGACATGAACAAGCCCAACATAAGAGTAGAATAATAAACCCCCTGGCCTACACATAAATCTGAATAAACAACAAACATCTTTACATTTGTATTATATTAAGGGGCCATTAAAATTAAAGTGTATAACATTTAATTGAGTGATAAATGAATTCATCTAACGTACAATAAATCAGACGATGAAATATCTATTTATGATAAAATGTAGAATATAGTAAGTATATGCTTATTCGTTATGAATTATTCACGTTTAGGCTGGAGTGTGATACAGAGAAAATGCTTTTCAAATATTTCAACTTTGACTAGTCAACTAAATATGTCCAAAAATATTATTTTTTTGGTTACCATTCTCATTCAGTCAGCATTTCAGCATTTTTATTGTATTGTAGTAGTGTAACTAAAATGATATGGTTTTTAAATTTATGATTCAGTTGCTGTGTCTAGACAGCGAAATAATATGCTTTAATGAATCCACTTTTTAGAAATAAACTGTTTTCGTGATTATTTTTATTTGGTAGGTTAAAACTTCACAGATTTTTTAATTATTAAAACTTTAACGCCAAAATCAACTTCAATTGTCGTTAAAATCAGTAGACTAGAACAGAATTTTGGTAAAAGAATTATATCCTGGGGTTTTAACTCAGGGTCTTCCAGTTACAAGGCAAGCTCGTATACCATTCAGCCACTGGGACCCGATTCAATGGATTAGGATCCTTACAAATTAACTCTTGAAAATTAATTTGATTCTCGCTAGTGACTTGCTACAGGACGGAGTTCTAGTGAGAAGTGGTGACCAATGAGATCCATCCAGTCAAGTGTGAGGATGGATTTCTCACCGATGAAATTGGTTGGTGGTCGCGCTAAAATCACGAATTGGTAGAAGTTAGAATTTCCCGGTCATTGGATCGGGTCCCAGTAGCTGAATGGTATTCGAGCTCGCCTTGTAACCCCGTAGACCCTGGGTTCGAACCCCAATGGGTGTTTACTGCCGATGATTCCCAAACTAGAATGAAGCAGCTTTCCAATACTCCCTGGTCTTCAATGGTTCTCTAACTGATATCTGTCCGTGGTCAAACTCGAAAAACAAACCTAATCCTTACAAATCAACTCTTGAAAAGAATTATAGAACGTGGAAATGTATCATATTCAGATTGGTTTAGTGGAGCTAATGAGCTTTATTTCAGATAAGCTTCAATTGTCACAGTAAGGATAGACCACATCTTGAACAGACAGCTTCTGTACCAAAGAAATCTATCTTTATTAACTTACCCATTCAAGAGTGATCAAATTATGCAGTTGACACCTCAAAGACTTCGGTCAGCCATCGAGCACACATTCTACACCGCATCTCTTTCCCTCGCATCTGGGACATTTTCGATCCCTATACCTACGATTAAAGGACGAAATTCTGTGGACTCTATTTCAAACTGTTTCTACAAGTTCATCTGCAGTTGTGGTGACACCTATATAGGTTGAACGAATAGAATGTTCCAATGTCTTCGAAAAGAACGTATGCCAAAATGGTTATTAAGACACAGAAAATCCCAATACAATTAATCTGAATAGAAATCCATCATCATCCATTGCAAAGCACTTATCAATGTCAGGTTACAAAATCAATATTAATGACTGCTTCACAATTGTTTCACATAGCTCTAATTCAAGGTTGTTAAAGGTGATGAAAGCACTTTGGATCAATCACACGCATCCTAAACTATGTGTACAAAAAACAATATACTTCAACCTTCGCCTACCATGGACTAGTTGACCTACTTAAATATGATTGGTCTTTAGTATGTACTTTTGTTTTTTATAACTGAGTAATTGTCATGCATTTTGTTGTATTTTATTACTGTGATCCATGTACGTTGTTAAGCGACTGTAGAGAAACTACGAAATGATATCATCTCGCAAAAGTTGTCTTTTAAATGTTTTATTTAAATTTATTAAAGGGACTAATCGTTTTAAATAAGAAATGATTTAGAAGTGAAAAATCACTCCTTGTGATATGATACTACTCAGCAGTTCACATTTACAATCAAATAAGAGATTCATTTCAGTACTGATAAGTCTTGAAGTGAGCACCTTAGTTAAATAAAAATCTAAAGTGCAAACGACTAAGCCTTCTATCTAGTGTCACCCAATTGCTGTCAACTAGCATCACTGATAAGCAACTATCGTTGCGTACACTTGGTCGACTCCAATATTCACAAAGTCCTATGCTAATCCGAGAACATTCGTCACCAATGAGCACTATTTATTTTTTTTATTATAGCTTGACTCCACGCAGCATTTTTGATACAAGTATGGAATTTTCAGCATGTGATATCGGTAGCCCAAATTTTGCAGGCCGACTAATTGATATCAGGTGTGTGTCGGTAGGGATCGAACCCCGGAGGGCTTATTGGCAAATGTGCAGCCAGCTAAGGAGAACTGTAGAGAATAGAATGAAATGGAGACGTACTGTTGAAGCCCTATGTTTCACTCGGAACCAAAAAGAATGACAAAGATTTTACTCACATAAATACATAAACGAAATGAAACTCGGTCACTAGACACATGTCAAAACTGAAGTAGGTAGAGCAGGACTCGAACCCAGGACCAATTAGCTGAAAGCCTACAGTTTAAACAATGAATCACACTTCCACGAAATGACGTCATCTAGAGTTGGATATGTAAACAATTACTCACAGATAACTTAAATTGGGGTGGTGGTTCCACAACAGGGCAAGTAAGTAGGAAAATGAGAAACAGTCACTATGTGTTAGAGTGTTAACCACACATTACAGCACAAAAGGATAAACAATGCAACTCAATTTATAGATATCTTGCTGATTTGAATAGCGTTTGGAGGTTGAATTAATCTTTGGACAAGCAGGCCTTTTTAATAGAGCACCTAAAAGGTATTTTAAATTTTATTTCGCCTTCCGATAACTTCATAGAAAATTTACTTCTTTCGACAACAGTCATTCTTATTTAGTGAATTTCATGTTTGTAGTTAACAAAAATGTCTACACATATTATCTTAATTCAAGCCTAATGTCATCAAATTAGTTCTAAGTTAGCATCTGAAATATCTCATACAGTATAGCTTCTCTGAGGCCCTTATTAAAAATATGAACCACATCTCTAAGAGGTTCAAAATTAGTCGCTTATTGAATCACTAATCAAAGGAGTTTCCCGACTATAATCCTCATCACATCGTCTAGTTGAAGTCTTGAAGATGACGGACCTCAGTGTATAAAGGAACACAGCGATAAGGCTTAAACTCAACTGTTAGATGACTGGAGGCAATCGCCTTGATTACCTTCAAAGTTACAGGTATACAGAAAGTAATTTTATTGATTAAAAGTAATTACTTCTTACTCGGATGAATTGGATGCTGTTTTGACGGACGAATTATTATTAACTGGCTTGGCCAAAATATCATCACACGCAGGTTGCAATGAAGCTGAATGAGGAAAACAAAATCAAATACAAAAATGTAAGTATAAACATAAAGCTTATGCAGTTTTTGGAACAATACATATTAATATCAATTGAAAAGCTACTCAGAATCATACTGGACTGAAAAACAGCACCCTTCCAGTTTTACATATCTCAGTCATCTCAATTTCTAAAACACGTCAGCTTTTATGTGATAAAGATGAACAATAAAAGAACAATTATAGTAACTGAATAGGAGTCGTACCATGCTACAGAAAAATCCAGTGGTTTTAAGTTAAGCGGCTCATTGGCTCTACTTTAGCATATTAGTTTCAGTCACCAGGTACTCACAGTTTGAATCCTACTCCAACTGCACCAGCTTGGGAGACTAAGTGGCACCACTAACTCCCACACACTAGGTATGTGATTATTCATTATCAGGCACATAAAAAATCCGTTCCGGAGAACTGAGTTTGTTTGTCTCAAGCACAATTAACACAGAACTACTACAAACCATCATTGGGATCATTCTTATGCGGATTGATAGAGGCATAGGTTTACAAGGTTTAAAAGCAAATTTTGCAAAGGTAATTTATCCCATACAGTGTGATTCACCAGAATTAACCACTTTGCAACCATATATGATAATGGAGATTACCGCTACAATCTACCAAGTGTAAATTATGTGCTTTATGATAATTGGTAATGTCAATTTATTATTTATGTGAAATGAAGATGACTAGAGCGAGAAGTAGGGCATGATAGTGTGATAAAACACCGACATAAGAAAAATTAGTGTTCCCCTTAGATTATCGATATTTACATATATACATGAGTGAAAAATTTCATCCTAACTATTATTCATTTCACACATTTAGGCCAAACAAAAGTATGAATCCTATTTTGGTTTTGTTTAACAAGAAAATTATAATACAAAATGTCAATAATTTGGCAAAACAACAGAAAATACGAATACGCATACCATGGGTGTGTACATTTCCCCTCAATGTATCAAGAATAAATGTTTAAATAAACAGATACTTGTGTGAAGCTGAAGAATTTTGATTAACATGTAAATGATGTATCATCTTTTCAGTGGGGTAAAATTGCGTAGATCTATTTCCCAGATAACGACCTATACTTGTCGAAAATTTTCTCTGTCATTCAACTAAATGAACTGAAGGTGGTGAGGAACATATATGATCGCACAGTGTGAACACTGTGGAGCTTATATAACTCATAACACCTGAAGGCGGAGGAGGAATATAGTCCATTCTGTAACTATCACTTAATATGCCAAAATACTATCAAGTCTAAACAACGAAATCTGTACTAAGCAGTTAAACTGGCCATAATACTTAGATGTCGATTTTGGGGATTTGGTTAGTTTCAAGTTAGATTGCGTAATGAACCGAAATCAATTAGAGAACCATCGAAAAAACATCCAAGTAATGGGTTAGATCTCTTATTCCTATCAATTTACCAGATATTGTTACTGTCACCACCACCATCCAGTGTCATGGACTGACTGGAGTTAGAATTTGTAGGTCATTTGATTCTAATTAGGTGATATTGGATCAGAAATATGCCATTGTTTTCAGTGGTTATTTAACCAATGTCAATCCGTGGGCTAGTTTCGCATATGCGAGTTTACGTCGTCTCTGGCGTAGACGTGATATCCGACTATCGACCAAAGGGCGTGTGTACTGCTCAACAGTCCGCTCCGTCCTCCTTATTGGCCAGCTGTGAGACCTGGCCATTGATAGCAGAAGACATGAAAAGATTAGCTGCCTTCGATCATAGGTGCCTGCGTTCTATCTCCCGCGTGAAGTGGTACGATAAGGTGAGCAATATTGAGGTTAGGCGTCGAGTGCTAGGCAAGGAGGGGAAATCAATAGACGAGACTGTGAAATTACATCGACTGAGATGGTTAGGACATGTGCTACGTATGCCTAGTCATCGCCTTCCTCGACGGGCAATGTTAGCTGATATAGGGTCAGGCTGGAAAACAGCTAGCCTCGGTCAAACGAAAACATGGCACCAGTCAATGAAATCTACAACAGTTAGTCTAAGCCACGTAGGAAGGTGTAGACTTCCTGGTTAGGGTCCTCGGGACGGCAAAAGCCAATGGTTGGAAACAATTGGTGACATGACTCAAAATCGTTCTCAATGGCTGGCGCAGATGCATCCACTCCTTGTGACTTATGATTTCCAATGAAACCGTTTTGTTCTTCGTTATTACTATTCCTTTGTCTCACACCTCTGTTTACTGTCTATATTATGCATTTCTACTACTTTCTTCTCTTGCTTTGTGTGGTACATGGAGTGTGGCGACTTGAACTTCCGCACATATGTGCCAAGTTCTATGTCGAAAACCGACCGACCGACCGTGACGAAATCTACCTTAGTATCAGACTAGCTTAACTGAAAAAAGTCGGTGGTTCGATGGTAGAATGCTCGCCAACCACGCACATGATCGGGGTGCGATTTGCGGCCGAGTCATTCCTAAACCTCACTGTCAGTACAAAGCCCCGTGAAGAAGGGAGGTTGGATGTGAGACTAGCAACCCCACCCTGTAAAAAAACATCACCACTACTGAAACTTTAAAGCTCAATCTCAGAACCCTACGTTCTACTTGAAACGCAAAGTATTGAAGATGTATATACATATATGCATATATATATATTACCTTGATTTTTTGAATCATTAGACATCGCTTTGGAATTTGTTGAATCAGAAGTACTATTCAAAAAACTCCCATCTGTTTTTACAGGAGATTCTTCAAGGGGATCTATTTGACGCCGTTCTAAAGCTTGTAGTTTAGCAGTTAATTCACTAAGATCAGTATGAAAACTGCTATTTGAATAGGAATGTGAATTAGAATCATCTGTGGCTGTAATTCTAGACGTCGTTGGTGAAAATGCTGATATACCACCAAAGTCATTAATAGTCAATGAACTGCCAACATTAAAACTTCCTGTACGACTTAATGACATAAGCGATGCAATCGAAATCATATCTTCATCACTAGAAAAAGAAATAATTCGAAAAACAAATTTAGGCGTATATCAGAGTAATGAAAAGCGTTCGAAAAATACATTTTAAAAAAAATATATTTATTTCACACGAACATACACACTGCCTAAAGCATTATCTCGTTAGACAAAAATTTCCCAAATAACTTCGATTTACAGTAAAACTAGTTTCAAAAGCTTTTTATCGAGACAGCAGTAAATAATGAGCGTATTTATACAAATTATAGTAAGTGAGTCGTTTTTCCCACGTATACAAGAATGAGTTAGCTAGGCTTACTTTCAATGAACAGACTTCTAGAGTATTTTATTGATGGTAACCAGTAATGGAATCCTAGGTACACATCCTATTCTACTCGACAAACATCAGTTGAATGCATCTACAATATCCTGAAACATTAATTCACCCAAGAGAATAAATAACCTTTTTGAGTTTGAAATGGTGAGTCATGGATTTGGCATTATCACTCATTATTATTATTATTGTTCCCTTGGGTTCCTAGTGGAACATAGGGCTTCAACTGCACGTCTCCACTTGCTTCTGTCTTCTGCTGTAGTTTTCACTTGCGTCCATGTTATTCCATACTGTTTCATCTCCTCCTCACACGATCTCCTCCATGTCACCCTTGGACGTCCCACTCGCCGCTTCCCTTTCGGGTTCCACTCGAGCTATGGCCTGACGCGCGATGTCACTCAACGGCCTCCTCAGCGAGTGTCCAATCCATCTCCACTTCCTCCTGCATATTTGTTGGGCGATTGGTTCCTGTTTCGTTTGTTCCCATAGCTTCTTGTTTGTGATTCTTTCTGGCCATCTAATCTTCAGTATGGAGCGAAGACAGTTGTTGATAAAGGTCTGCAACCTGTTGAAAATATTCTTGGTGACCCGCCAAGTTTCTGATCCGTAAAGCAAAATTGACTTCACGTTTGTATTGAAAATCCGAATTTTGTTGTTGATGGTGAGTGACGAAGATTTCCAGATTGGTTTCAGGTTGATGAATGTGTTTCTCGCCTTCCCGATTCTCGATTTGACATACTCGTCCGTTCCTCCTGTGGTTGAGACAATGCTCCCCAGATAAGTGAAAGAAGTAACCTCTTTCAAATCCTTCCCGTTGATGGTAATTGGCACTGGATGTTGCTGCTGTTGTTGTTGTTGGTTGGTTATTTTCATAACCTCCGTCTTGTCTATGTTCACCTGCAGTCCTGTCTTTGCTGCTTCTTCGACCAGTTTGTCGGTTTTTGCTTGTAAGTCTTCGATTTTGTGTGACATCAAACATAAATCATCCACGCGCGAAATCCAGGTCTTCTAGGTTCTTCACGTCGGTCCAGGATATCCCTGTCTTCTCGTTTCCCACAGTCTGACGCATAATCCAGTCCACCACAATTAGGAATATCATTGGTGATCATAAGCACCCTTGTCTGACTCCTGTGTTTACTCCAAACGCTTCGCTGAGTTTTCCGTTGTGGATCACTTGACATGTGCCGTTGTCGTACAGTTGTTGAATAAGCTACCAATATATTTGGAGCAAAAATGGGGTGAAATACTTGAGCTAAATTCCATTGCTAGATATCATTACAAGATGAAATTCCAGGTATCTGTTCAAACTGCCCAATGCCAATTTAGTCCAGTACAGTTTACACGAAGTTGAAGGCATCAACCAGTAAAAACTTCCTTTTAATTTGAACAACTTTAGGAGTAATTATATCATTGTATTCAAATACAGATCAAATGCAGAATATATGCATATATATATATATATATATATATATATATACACTATCAACGTGAATTATATTAATTCATACTTTATACGGATAACCTATTTCCTTGACATGAAAACTACATTGGAAAGAAAAGATTCAATATCATATGAAGCTTACAAGCAAGTGATTATTGACAACCTTTTGAATTAATTTTCTTAGTTCCAAGTCATGCATCGATCAAATCGCAACACTACGGATCATCATTGAACAGATCTTGGAATGGCAGTTAGCTCTCTATCTCAAATTCATCGACTTTTAAAAGGCCTTGGACAGCGTAGATAGAGAGGTGATGTGGAAACTACCTCGTTACTACGAGGTACCAACAACAATTATACATGCCATCCAACAGTTTTACGATAAAGCTGCATGCCAAATAATCACGACGGGAAACTCATGGAATCCTTCGAAGTGAAAACGGGAGTAAGACAAGCTGCCTGGCTGCCTACTATCTCCAATGATTTTCCTGATTGCAGTAGATTGGATAATGCGACAAACAGCGGGCAATGAGGAAACAGGCATCAAATGGACCCACATAAAAAACTTGAAGGATCTGGACTTCCCCGATGATATATGTCTGATTTTCCACAAGCTGGGAGATATGCAAGTGAAAAGCAACAAGTTGGCAGAAGAAGCATCCAAGATAGGACTTCAGGTGAACATAGAGAAAACAGAGGTGATGAAGATTCCTGGGCAACACCACCAACAACAACAGACAACAATCAGCATAGATGGGAGGAACCTGAAAGAAACAACCTCTTTTACCTACCTGGGAAGCATCGTTTCAACTACAGGCAGACGGAATTGACGACGATATCAAAGCAAGAATCGGAAAAGCAAGACATGCTTTCACTACTCACAAGTCTGTGTGGAGGTCAACAACACTCAGCATCAAAAATGAGATCCGGATTTTCAACTCCAATATGAAGTCAGTGCTACTCACTATACGGATCAGAGACTTGCACTGCGCGTCATAAAGAGTATCTCAAACAAACTACAGACCTTCATTAACAGTTATCTTCGCTCAACACTCAAGATCAGATGGCCAGAAAAGATCAGCAACAGGGATCTCTGGCAATGAGCGAACCAACCAGGAACCGATTGTGCAACAAATACGCAGGAAGAAATGGAGCAAACCATCAAGTGACATCACAGGCCAGGTTCTCGAGTGGAACTCGAGTGGGAAGCGGTGAGTTGGTCATCAGAGGGTGACGTGGTGGAGGTCATGCGAAGAGGAGATGAAAGCATGTGGGCAGACGTGGAGCCAGGTAGAAACGCTGGCGGGGAAATAAAGGAAACAATAGTTCCGAGACTATCATCAAGAACAGATTCAAATACATATTAGTTGGTAGCAAATACACCAACTAACTAAGAATCTGTTGATTATCACCTGTCTTTTTTCTAACTATATATATATATATATATGCACTGGTATTATCTTCGGATTGTAATCTAAGTAATACAAATGTTTTTATAGCTGGAAAAATGACTCGAAATTGTTTTCTCTTTTTGTTTCGGTGTAGAGTAGAATAATTCCTTTTTTAAAAAAGAAACAGGCAACACGAATATCGATTGATGATCATTTGGAAAATAACCTATTTCGTTTATCCAGGATATAAACTGCTCATTTTCTTCTCTCTTTTTTGAAGCGAAATGTGAATCTACCTTTGTATGTGTATTTGGTTAGAGAACTACAAATAAAACAAAGTGAATTGCTCTAGTACACCATGTTATACTCTATTTACTTACCAGTGCTACTAAGACAAGAAGTGAAAAATTAGATTCTTACAAAAAATTAATCTTCCTTTCAAACTACTTAAACGACAAATAGATGTTAAGTGAACATTTTACGTGACTGTGCTTTACTGTAATAAATCAGCATTCAATATGGTTAGGTGATATAAAATAGTGATTCTTTTCAAACCAATGAATATGATGGATAGGGGTCTAGGAAATTGGTTAAATCCTGATTTCAAACTATTTGTAAACATACGACTTATGACTGAAAGGGGGACAATAACCTATGAACATAATGTTTTACTACACAGACAATCAAGGAAACAAAACTGCTTTGTGGATGCGGATTATATTTGAAGACTCAAGAAATGATTCATAGGGGTGTTCACACAATATTTCAACTGTTGAACAATTCACAATGAGGATATGAAAGTGCACAACCTAATCTTACAAATAACCATATTTACTGCAACACAAATCGTGTATGGAACTATTAGAATTCAGTGTCGTTAAAATGATGTTTTCATGCGTGCATTTCTCGGTATAACAGTTATTATTTACATAAGAAAAGATGCGAACAGCGACGATTCATTTTCATAAGCTATACAACCATAAATATTTTTAACAAAGGAATCATAAGACCAATCAGATACTGTTAAAATTTGTCCTCGAAAAACGTATTATGTTATGTAGGGTGTAACCTAGAAGGGGTAACTAGTTGGAAGTTAGAAAAGAGGTAGAAGCTGGCATGACGTTATAAATGTGGGAAAATGACTAATCAATATGGCTGTGTAGAGTGCACAGGAACTAGTGGAAAGACGATAAAGTGTTTTAATAAAATCTGTATGAAAACGCGATGTTGTTAATAAACAGTAATAGAGTGATAATAAAATATGGACGATGAGAATAATAATCACAATAATGAGACATACATAATAAAAAAGGAGGAAAAATTAAAGTAAGAACGTTACTCTGGCCACGGTAGAGTGAGTGAATGTATGTAGCGCTTTTGAATGCACAGGTCCGGTTTCAGATCCCGAATAGCCAATGATTATTATTTACACTTTTACATGCAAATCGCTTACCACAATTAAACATCATACAAAGTTAGCTAGTGATACTTCAAGAGGTAATTTAATGAACAACACCATGGTGCTGACCATTAAAAGTAACAAAATGTCTCTATGAGTTCCCTAAAACCTTTCAACACCAGAAAATTTATCGCAATAAATAGTGATACCACTAGTTTATTTAGAACTGTTAAGCAAGTAGAGACCTGGGGAAATAAGCGAGTGAGATGCCACTAGCGAAATAAGCTAACATTTACCAGAAGCTGTTTTAGTTCATCAACATAAGAAAGGTTAGGACATTGATACAGGGCGCGATGAAGATAATTTTTTGGTCAACTAACACCGAATTAGAAGATGCCAACACTAGACAGGATATGCTGAAAAGCATTTTAGTTAACCAAATGCCGTAACCGCAATTTGGAACTAAATTATATTATACACGGCTATTCATAGGAAATTTATCAATAACTTTATAGTGTTGTACAAAACAATTCACACAGAATGAGATTAAACAACTACTTCTGACCATTGTTCCAAATGGAATCCGAGAAATTTTGTTACACTAATATTTTTAGTTTGCTAACTAAGACGCTCTTCTTCTAAAAGTACACAGTAGCATAGATGGACTCTTAGTATGTGGACAATAGGTTAGAAAAGTATCTTAAAAGTGTTTTACAAATATAGATAACAATCAAGAACTAACGTGGCATCGCCTTCCTTTAAAATCATCGAATTTAGTGTAAGCAGGACGATTGCAGATGTTAACTTTTTAGAAGCCAGACGCATAACCACTTTGAGATTTGTTTGAACGGGTAAATTTGAAGCAAATTCAGCCAAATCAATTTGTCTCGTAGCTAGTACACGTCGTCTGGAGGATGTTGCAGACCCAGAAAGTAAACCAGTACCTTTAGGTCCAACCTGAAGATTAAAAAAATCAAAGGTGTTGATCAGTAATATGAACGTGCTATATCACACGATTGAAAATCCGTGACTAAGAAATTAAAAAAATGAAAGTTTCTTTTAAGCAGGTGAGACAGTTTCCGCAAGATTTGTTCGTCTTAATAAAGCGTAGGTAATAACAGCTTTCAACAATCTGGCTATCCCATTTTTCTCTTGGATTCGATCATGTGCATTTGTTTTATATATCATCTGCTTAAATGGTAGAAATTGAATAATGTATATTTAGATTCAATAATCTACTGAAGAATCAATCTAAAAGAATGGAATAAATTTTAACTAGTCGAAATACGTTGAATCCAACTCATAATTACGATGTTATTTGTAAGTAGACTGACTTAACTAGAAATGTATATTGTAACGGGAGAAGACACTAGACTTGGTAACGAATCTTTACTGAGGAAAAACATCAAGTTTATACATTCTTAATCATATTAAAGTCCGCCTAGGTCACAATAGAATAAATTGTTCTGCCTAACTGCCAATCGGACCAAGGTTAAATAAGTCGACCAATGAGGCTATTTCATGTCCACAACGTAAACTAAATCCAGATTTGAGGAATAAACACTTCTAACTCTGCCGCAGCTATTGACTTAAAATGTTAATTTCAGTTTTGGCCGCATCCTATCAATCTGCACCACGCTACAATATAATCTTGATGGTAAATAAATAGAGCCCAGTGAAATCACACATATATGAGATACTGACGTACTAAAAAGTTATGAGTTACTTATTTGGAATGCTATAATGAACTGTCCTATCGCCAAATGTGAAGGTGCAACTAATAACCTCAAGGGGAATAATCCTGTAACCATTAATCATTATTTGACAGAAGGAATAATTGCTGTAGTGAGAAATAGCACGATTCATAGGTGCTTATAGAGCCTTACAAATTACTTTCACCTGGAGGGAGTCATATGAAATGCAGAAAGCTGTTTGAATATATATATATATATATATACTAGAAACAAAAGTCATTTGGAAGAAAGCATACTGGATGAATATCTGAAATTCCGAACACATCCCTACCTTCGCCCTTGATCTAATTTTAGGATCAGTGTCTGATTATTTAAAGAAACTAAAGCGGGATGACTGTGTAAAGGTTTACCTTAACAACTTATGAAATCGCAGCCAATCAACATAAGTGGTGATGGGGCGTATAAACATCGCTAAATGAATTCTCAGCTATCGTTGAAAAATATGACAAGTTAGCATTTGATCACGTCAATAAATTCAATTACAGAAACAAACGTGCGTCTGTGGCACAGCTGTAGAATGCTCGCCAAACACGCCTCATGTGGTCCAGGGTTGGATTCCCGGTCGACACACTCCTTCACCTCGCTAAGCCAGTAATAAGACTGACAAAGAGGAAATATTGGGCATGAGGCTAGAAACCTCATCCCGTAAAAATAAACACCACTACTACCGAAACTTCAAGTCTCTAGCTTGAAGCCGTATGTTCCACTGGGAACGTAAAGGCAAAGAGAAAAAGAAGAAGCAAACATATCACACTAAGTTGACAGATCTTTAAATTTGAGGTGTGTATATTTTACAAATAAATAAGTCTGCAGAATAAAACAATAAACACAATCGATTATCACTTAACAGTATATATATAATGTTACAGAAGTGAAATGTTTCATTGGTTCTATTTATCTGCTCCTTAAGAATATAGGAAAATCCTCTAAAGGAAGAAGACAGAACGAACACAACTATGAACTAATCAGCTTACTTGAAGAAATAAACAAAACTTTCAGTACTTACATCTTCAATTTGACATATCCATTCTTTTTCTTCATACTGTATTACTTTTTCACTACGATATAAGGTAGTAACAAATTCTATATTTTCTGGCATCGACCATACATATTTAAATGAATTCGAATCATCTGATGTTTTAGTAGGTTCAAATGCCTATAAATTAATCCGTTGAAGAAAGTAAACACTGAAGTAACATAAAAGCAGCACATTACATGCGTGTCTTTTGATTGATTGAAAAAATCAGGTGTCAAAACTGGTTTTTTTTTCAAAATTATGAACTAACATTCGACTATTTTATGAAAACAGGACTTAAGAGGTCAACAGTTGACCAAGTCCTGGTGTAAAAAACACTGCTGCTTTACAAATAACACGAGAAGACTACCACATTCAACGATTAAACATTCTCTAACAACGATATTACTTCTGATCTCATACTGAATTATAGTTCTAACTCTAAAGAAGTTGGTGATTAACGCCTTTCTCAATATAAATGTGTAATTTCATCAATCTGCATCTGAGAAAAAAAGAAACAATACAGTGGATTATCTTGGATAAAAAGGAGTGATATCGATCTCATTAACTAGAGAGAGTACATTCACTCGAAAACAGTGGAGAAGATTCGCAGATCGCGTGGGTGTTATTGTTTTGTTCCGTTTCCTGATAAATATGGTTTAAACGAGAAGCTTTCAGTGTTTTTTCTAAACACCTTTAATACTGATTTTAAAATTATATAGGTGCTTTTACAACTCTCCAGTACAAGTGAATATGTGGATTTTAAAAAACTCCAGATACAACCAACCACAGACAAGATAATTAGGAGAGCTGGTTATTACACTCAGGGAGAATTTAAAAAAACCTCATTTTCAAGTTAATACTGAAAGTATCCACAACGATGGGAATCGCGCAACTTAAATCTTCAGTCTAGGAGCGTAAAGTAATCAAAGATACACTCACTCTTTATCTTATTAAACAGACCATAAAATACTCTAGATAAATTTTGCCAAACAATGACTTTTGGGACTTGTCAGTGTGACTGGACTTATTATTCATTTTGGTTCATTAAGAAAAAATCATAGAAAATTCAGTTTCAGTAGATAACAACTGATATCTGGCTTTGCGATCAAATGGACAACGCTTTGGTCCTAAATGAGGTCAAACGTGCATCATGGATTCTAGTTTCAATCACCACCTATCAAATAACAGGAAGTTGAGGATAAAGGAATAGCCAAAAAGTCCACTTAGAAGGATAATATACTATAATACTATAAATATACCAGCAACTGATCGTTCAGGTCTAGTAAAAACCAACAAGAGGAAATCAAAAAGCTTCAAAACAATCATATGAAGTGGCTTATAAGATGGTTTGGCTTGACATTCTATTTGTTATGACGTGGGAAATATAGGAGCTGCAACTGATCGGTTCATTTAGAGTCATTATGGGTATGCGCCTGGAAGTAATGAATTGCATTGGATTAGTTATTGGTCATCCAAGATGTTTTAAAGCTGACATTGCTCTTGCGCACGGCCTGGGTTAATGACCTGAATATCTTGTTACAAAAATTTTTATGAATAGTATATCACCTTGTATTTGTATATCACTGTGGGTTTTGATCATTTTGATACCTGAGGGAGGAATGATCAATTGTTATGTGATAATGGTGAACTACTCACGCCACCTGCCGTAATTTCTGAGGTCCTGGATTTTGTAATGATTCGAAATTTCGATTGATCTCTCACAGAAGAGATTTTCCGGAATCAGGATGACTTAACCGTACTGACCACCTTGTTTGTCACACTATGCAATGCACATGTTGTTTCTCACTCTTTCATAAGCGTGAGTATAATTCCATTATGGGTAGAATTTGTTTCGATAAAGTCTCACAGTGTTACACAGTGATGTTTACTGATGACGTTTCGAGCACAATTGATTGCTCATCATCATCATCATCATATCAAGGTACCCACACAACTTTCTAACTTCGTTTATATGATTCCATTATTTTTCATCGCTTGATTGGATTGGTAGTAGTATTTTCCATATTTCCGGGATTCCAATGGAGTATAATTCTTATATACATTTCAACAAATTAGTGTATAAACTGTTTGAAGATTTTTGAGCTTTGAAGTCTGATAGTAAACATTTCATTGACTTATTGCCATATTCAGTACTTAATTAAGAAGCATGGAACGACTACCAGTAAAAATTAATAAAAATGATCAAATGGTATAAAGTGAATTCAAAACTTTATACAAGCATACAAACAAAAACTTAAATGTGCAAGAAGAACAAAACGAGTGAAAACTATTCATTCAAACGAAGAAAGGTGGACTGTACAAATCTACCAACATTCAGTGGAATATGTTGCCTGAGTAACAAATAATTCAACCTCAAATTAATGCATGTACATACACCATAGTGTCAGTGTCGCAAATATACCACTTACCTTAGATGAATATCGACGACTTCGACGAGACCAAACCAAAACTAAACTCCCAGGGTGGTATTGGCGTGAGCATTCGATATTTAGTTCATGTAAAGAAGCAGTGATTTGAAATTTCGCTGCCTTCTTCCCAACTCTCTGCAATCTCCGCCAGACACTCATTTAAAATTGAAGGTGTTTTATAATCTAAAATTACAGAAAGATGTACGTCTCACTTCAGGTAAAAACACTCCTAAAAACTGAATTGACGGCAAAAAATTATATCCACCAGTGAAATTTAGCTTATCCCCATAAGTATCATGTCAAACCCATGAACCCACTTCATATACTCTACTGAGTGACAAGACGATACCCCTCTACTTTTATAGCGCATGCTTAACACATTCGTTAGAAAATGAATTTGAGCATGGTTACCCAGCGCTTCTTGGTAAGATATACAAATTTATTACTGAATTTATTCATGTGTAAGTTTCCCCTAGTGCAACTGAACAAGTTATCAAAGTGACTTTCCTTTATCGAACACATAACAGTCAAAATTCACCATGAATACAAGATCCTCCAAAAAATTAAATACTTCCTTAAAGAACGTCATCGTGCTTTTAAGCGGCAAAACAGTGTTGAAGAATTGACGCAAAAGTGTGTTACAAGAAAATAACGTAACTATAGTTTAAGTTGATTTCATTTAACATTGATGATGAAGATGTGCTTCATTAGCTTCAGTACTGGAATCCCACTTCATCCACTTACACCTAGGTGACTGAGAAGTATCAACAATCCTCACAGCAAGTGAGGGTCGTAATCTAATACTTAGCTGTTTAAATGAATTCCCCAGACACTGAGCCACATTTACTGTATAAAGGATGAAGCTACTACATAGTTGTCCAGGCTGAAGTAGGCGGAGGAGAATTTGGACCAGGGATCCTCCGGCCAAAAGTAAAATACTTCAGCCACTGGGCCATTTCTCTACCATATCCTCGTACTTGAAAAATATGATCCGAGTGACTGAGTTCTAACCAACTTATATCATTATGATATTATGTTACTACTACTATATTCGTACAAATCTCAGTGGAATTCAAATAAGTAGTTCTGACGTTCTGTTTGGCAAATTGGTCTAAACTTCTTCAGCGAAAAACATTAGAATTGGATTTCTGATACAGCTGAACGATTCATTGGAATTACCTACTTCAATTTCGCTTGGATTTATACAAATATGGTTTTTACATATCTCTACTTCTCGTTCGGTGGTCAGTTTTTGTGGAACTATTCGCTGAAATCCTGATCAGAGTTTCGCATAAAATAACTAACTACTTAAATGTTGAAAAAAGTACGTTCCGAGAAGTATATGTGAAAATTCAAAGTTCCTTCTGAGAAAACGAAAGAAATGTAATAATCCACTGTGAGAACTTAACTGATCATCATGAACACATTATTTACAGACAAAACTACACCATCATCCAGAGCGAAATTCGGACGACATTACAGTTCTGTATATAAATTTTTAGTGCTTTCTTGATTCTTTTTTGGTTTAACGTGATACAGTGCATTGTCTAACTCCATGATGGTCAAACTCCTGAATGAATGAGACTTTTTAGTTTTTAGTGTACGCTTATAAAACACTAACTGGAGACTGAAATTGCTTACTAGTCAACATTTTCAAAATACTATAAAGTAAATCCTCATAGTGAAAACAGAAAAATTAAGCGAAACCTAAAATTCTCAACACTATTATACGTGTCTACGTACTCCACAAGTATTCGCCTCTATGAACTTCAGATCTTGTGTTTAACCAGCATTCCCTCAAGAACGATATTTCATTGGGTAATAAATGCACCGCATAGGAAATAATTTAGCCTGTACGATACCAACCACCTAGATTTGGCGACCACACCTGAAATTAGCAACGATGAAGCAAGTTATGCTAACTGAAACAAATGTTCTAGTAAATCCTATCATACCAAGAGGATCGGATAGGATATTGTTACACCAACAACCAGCCAATCCCTAGTATCTCAGGTTACAGGTGTATTTTGTCTACATGAGACAAGTAAAGACACTTAACTCGACGTGTTAAGTGTAGTAAATCTATAAAATTCATTTTGTGAGTCAGAATATTGTTTGTTTAGTTCTCATGCACTTGGTAGTGTAAGCATACCAATAAGATATAGGGGAGAAAACTCAGCTCCACTGAATTCCAATGCATAAACGTTACTGTTCTCTTCAGTCGAATGGATCATTGAAAATAAGGAAAAATGACATTTGTCAATGCATTTTCGCAATCTTTATCTACGCACCCACTGATTGCGGTTAGGATGAAATCTTGGATGGGTTCATTGATAAGCTGCTCAGTTTGCTGCTAGAAAGCACGATGCCTATATGTAATCATACTAACGAGTAACTTCAATTATCAAATACGGAAGCTGAACCATACTGTAAAGCATATTCGGGACATCTGCGTAGATTCCATACTCAAGTGAGTAACTTGATATAATTATGAGCAATATTGTACTCGAAACGTCATCAGTAAATACTACTGTATAACACCATGAGAATTTAGCAAAATAAAATTTCACCCACAATGGAATTATACTCTGCTACAGAACACAAGTTCTATCCTTACATCAACATCTACATATTATATATATATATATATATATATATATATATATATATATTCCCTTGGGTTCCTAGTGGAACATAGGGCTTCAACTGCACATCTCCACTTGCTTCTGTCTTCTGCTGTACTTTTCACCTGCATCCATGTTAGTCCATACTGTTTCAACTATTCTTCACACGATCTCTTCCATGTCACCCTTGGACGTCCCACTCGCCACTTCCCTTTCGGGTTCCACTCGAGCACTGGCCTGACGCGCGATGTCATCCAACGGTCTCCTGAATGAGTGTCCAATCCATCTCCACCTTCTCCTGCATATTTGTTGGACGATTGGTTCTTGTTTCGTTTGTTCCCATAGTTTCTTGTTGGTGATTCTTTCCGGCCACCTGATCTTCAGTATAGAGCAAAGACAGTTGTTGATTAAGGCCTGCAACCTGTTGAAAATATTCTTGGTGACCTGCCAAGTTTCTGATCCGTATAGAAGAACTGACTGACTTGACGTTTGTATTGAAAATCCGAATTCTGTTGTTGATGCTGAGTAACGAAGATTTCCAGATTGGTTTCAGGTTGATGAATGTGTTTCTCACCTTCCCGATTCTCGATTTGACATCCTCGTCCGTTCCTCCTGTAGTTGAGACAATGCTCCCTAGATAGGTAATTGAAGTAACCTCTTTCAAATCCCTCCTGTTGATGGTGATTGGCGTCGGATGTTGCTGCTGTTGTTGTTGTTGGTTGGTTATTTTCATAACCTCCGTCTTGTCTATGTTCACCTGCAGTCCCGTCTTTGCTGCTTCTTCGACCAGTTTGTCGGTTTTCGCTTGTAAGTCTTCGATTTTGTGACATCAAACATAAATCATCCACGCGCGAAATCCAGGTCTTCTAGGTTCTTCACGTCGGTCCAGGATATCCCTGTCTTCTCGTTTCCCACCGTCTGACGCATAACCCAGTCCACCACAATTAGGAATATCATTGGTGATAATAAGCACCCTCGTTTGACTCCAGTGTTTACTTCAGAACATCTATTCAGTAGCTGTCAGTGAGCTGGATATTGAAATTTCGTTTATTGGATGCTGTAGGGAATGTGATCAATTACTGATTATCTATTCTCCTTGTAACCTTGCCTAGATTACTAGGTCACTAGTATTCTGGCCGGTCCCAAGCCCGGATAAAGAGGGAGGATTGGGGCGTGGTGCTAGCAACTCCACCCCCAAAACTTAACCAAATTGCTACAAAAACTTCAACGCACAAATATATTCAAAATTCTAAAAATACAAACAATAACCTTATTTTTCGCTGGAATCGGGGAAGTGAAATGACGCAGGCTGGTGAAGGCCTTCGGGAAGCCAGTCAGCCGATGTGCCTTCTTTCGATGAAATCAAAAATAAGGATGGGGAAGTGGAATATTCGTACGATGTACGAAACTGGAAAGGCTGCTCAGGTAGCTGCAGAAATGAGGAGATATAAAATAGAAGTGTTGGGAATCTGCGAGAGCAGATGGAACGGATGTGGAAGGTGCCAACTATCAAGTGGGGAGACAGTAATTTATTCCGGTCACCCAGAGGACAACCACGAGCACAGCGAGGGAGTGGCCATCATGATGTCACCAACAGCAGCCAAAGCTCTCATGCAGTGGGAACCAATCTCCTCCAGGATAGTGACAGCTAGGTTCAACTCAAAAGGAAGGAAGGTTACAATCATTCAATGCTATGCGCCTACAAACATATACATAGACCTATACAAATGAACAGACAATAGTGATCCCTTAGAATTTTTTCAGATAGTTATCTGTTTCTGGCCAGCAATAAATCCAAACATTAGTAGGAGCACTATATCACCTGCCGATAGACAACATCAAACCATCGATGAACACAAATGAACCACAACGCTATCAGTTACTGATAGAGTAGATCAGCAGAAGATAGTCGTTATTTTAGTAGCGTTTGTATACACTTACATTACGCGGCGGCCTGCAGAGAAATACGCCCATAGCTAAGTAGCCATGAAACAAAAATAACAGCAAATCACTTACGTGTCTAGAACTCAGATGAACACATCGCGTCTGTATTTAGAAAGGAAATAACTAATCACGTATCTAGGTACGACAGCACTAATCCTGAAGAAAAATGACCCCATAACTAGTCTGCAAAAGAAATACGGGTGATGATGTATCTTCATCGAAACTGCAGGTCAAAGAGATTAATCCCAGAGAGATCCAAACTGAACGACGAGCAAAATCACTTAAATGTGGGCTGACTAAAGGTCTTCTCAACAGTGGTGGGTAAATGGAAGCTGCAATGAGACATCATAACTACGTTATATCTACTGACTGGTTAGGTTTACTAAATAAGTAAGTCCTAAAACTGCCATGGTAAATGAAACAACTTCTGAGAAGGATGAAATTTTAATAATTTCCAGTGACAGAACCGGAACGTTGGGTGAAACTCTTAGAACAGTTTAACTGGCGTAAATCTGCAACACAACATTCCGCCATCGAATCCGAATAGGATTTACGCGTGTGTCTCAATTGTGGCCGAAACTGAGGTGGCTA